TAATGGCCGGTCCTCATGTACAATTATTTACTGCGGAACTGCGGAGATGCGTAACTGCGAATCTCCGCAATTTTCAAACTACCGTCCAAATGCAAATGTCAAAAATAGTAGATGCGGATAACCTAGAAATTTGTACCGGTTTCTTTTCGAGTATTTTCATTGAGGTATTTCAAATAATTATCTATTAATCTTTATGTGAAATATATTTACAATGGAAAACTTTGATGAAGATACAGCTAATCAAACTAATCAAACACGTTTTCAGAATATAAACAAATACAAATGGCCGATAAATGTCACACGAGCACAAAAGTAAACACCGGAATACGGAAAAAGTTGAACCTAGTCAACTTTTATCCGGAACGCATGCGGATCTGTCACTTTTTCAAAATGGCTGCTGTGCGTCCAATATTTTTTCGATATTGTGATCACGTGGTTCCGCATCTCCGCAGTTCCGCACTAAATTATTGTACATGAGGACCGGCCATAAGCATAACTAAGAAAAGAACAATGAACACTTCACTCCAGATTTCGTCTTCCTCTTCTTTTTTTGGCCTTCACCCAGAGGGTATTTAGCCAACTCTTCTTATTCGAATATGTAAATCTCGCGGAATTTCTTAAATATTTGAAACGGGTTACTACATATTCAAAATTCTCCTTAATAAAGCGAATAAATATTTTTTCAGTGTCATAGCTCATTTACTTGCAAAAATCGACATGAACGAAGATCGAGAAATCCTCCAAAACCAATACAAGGACATAAGCCAGGAACTGCACTTGAAAACTGAGGCGCTAAGGAAATACCGGCACAAAGTGAAAACTCTGGAAAAGGAAATAACAGATATACAGAGTGAATTCGAAGTAGAGAGGCAGGATTATTTAGAAACGATCAGAAAACAAGATAGGAACATCAAGTTACTGTCACAAATTTCCGAAAGACTCACTGGGACCTTAAAGAAGGAATGTAATTACAGGTACAAAAATTGCAAGCGAAATATCTATAATTTATTGCGTAATAAATATTTTTCAGTGACCTAGACTTAGTAAAAGAGCAAGCGGTATGGTTGGAAGACACGCAGAAGTATAAATTACCAGAAATTATAGTGCCAAGGACCAAACTACCAACCCCAGGTACGTAATAATCCGTCATTATGAATAAATTTTTTAGTCAGTTAAACCACTTTTTTATGACTGAAATAGCGATTTCTGCATCAAAATTGTAAATATTTACCTATTATAGAATTATTTAAATATTTGGAAATCTGTTTGGAAATTATTCCTAACAAATCGAAAAAAATAAAAAAATTTAACATCCTGTATATCGAAAACCACACATTTATGGACCCACTTTCATAGGAAAAAAATGTCTTATTTGACCTCAAAAATACGCCCCTAAATTCTTTGTACTGAATTTTGAAGCAGCCTGTATATTTGTTTAAAATATGGAACAAAAAACTTAACATTTAACGAATATAAAAAGTAGTTTAACTACTTCTGCAACGTGATTGGGAAACCCTCACACGATAATTTGACAATATTATTTTCAAATAAATGAAAAATGATTATTAAACAAAACATTTTTTTTTTCAAATATTGTGGCCCGAATCATTGACTCCTATTAAAAAAAAAATCCGTGTAGGACGGTTTGGCGATACTCAAACTGCTCCAGCTAGATTGCAGTATGAAGAAGAATCTTGTGAAGATGAAAATTTTAAAACAGACCCTTTAATAAAGGTGATACAAATTAATGTTTTTAGTTATAATTGGCTTTTTTATTTAATTTTTTATTATAAGCTTGGAAAAGTTGTTTCGTATTTATTAAAATTTTGATAGTATACAGGGAGGATAAAGAATGGAATATCTATTGAAATTTTCTTAATTTTTCTCAAAATTGGCATCTGTAACATTACTAATTCCTACCTATATTTTTGTCTTTACAAGTGCCTCTAAAACATTTTTTTTATTTGAATAAAGATATATTACTACAACTATACAGGGTGTCCGGAAATTAATGCAACAAAATTTGGTCATAAATTCTTAAGACAAAGAGTGACCGCAAAAATCGCCCGTTTTTTCACAATTCACAGAGAACTAAAGGAAATTGATAAAAATATGTTTTTGGACTCAAATTACTCGTCGTAAAAAATTAAGATGAGCATAGCTTTTAGTTTTTTGAAAATTTTCAAAAATCACCCCTTACCAATAAATGTAAAAACTATTAGCATGTGAATTTTTCTATCGAACGGTTTTTGATATAAAGAAAGATTTATGCTCATGACTGAAATAAGCATGTTAAATTAGAAAACCCACCCCTAAGCGCGTTCAGGGGGTGGAATCATCCCCCAAAATAGAGAATATCAGAAATAATTGTAAAAATTACAAGAAAATATATTAAGATAATTCACATTTTTGGCATTTTTTCAACCCCCAAGTAGGGGTGATTTTTAAAATTTTCAAAATACTAAAAGTTATGCTCATTTCAGTTTTTTACGATAAGTAATTTGCTACCAAAAACATATTTTTATGTATTTTTTTTTTAATTCTCTGCGAATTGTGAAAAAACGGGCGAAAATCACAGGTTTTTTGCGGTCACTCTTTGTCTTAAGAATCTGTGACCGAATTTTGATGCATTAATTTCGGGACACCCTGTACATACGTAAAATCTGGAAACCCATATTGTTAACAATTTTCACCCACCCTGTATATTTTTTTTGCACGCTGCTTAAATTTTTTGGCACAGGACAAAACCACAATCGAATACCATCTAGCGATTCCAATGTATCTAGAACAGAATTGACTAGTCCGATGTATTTTAACGATAACGAGGTAAAACATCTTCTTTACCGCACCGTTCATTTTATTTACTTTGACTGCAAATTTGTAGATTTTTTTTAGTAGTATAGATACGTAACATGCACACGGAAGACACTTACAAACCTTACTTTTTACTTCATTGATAGAAACTCGATAGAAGCGAAAAAGAGGACATAATTGGTAGTTATTTCCAACCGACTATGAGGAGAGCTAACGAGCTACTGAATCAGTCCACAAGGTTTGACGCAAGTAAAGCTTTTAATACGTGGCGAGGTAAATATTGTTGATGGCGTATTAACAGAAAAAGGTGAAAAAATATTCTAGAGTTTCCAGATTTCAAAATTATTACCAAATTGGGCCAATTTTCAATAAAATCAATGCACGCTTTCTGTTTTCTCTTATATTTTTTCATCTTCACCGTATTAAGGACTGCTGGCATACATCTAAAACAGGCCACACGGGCCGATATGGTTTTCCAGATTTTGCCAGACGGAACAGATCAACTGAAAATATAAATCGTGAAGAGGAACTACCGAATGCCGTTAATATGAATCACAGTTACACCGGTCCGAGCAATTTGTGGATAAACGGTAATAATTTGTTATAAAAACAGCTCTGCCTCTAGTGTTATAAATTAAAGTCTTACGACCTTTTTTACGCTACCTTTTTAATAAAGTATATCACCGGTCAAAAATGGAACTTTTTATAGTAATACCACATAAAGTAGACTACTTAAGCTTTATATAGTGTCTTTTTCTTAGGGTCACCCTCAAATAGTAGCGAATCCTTTATTAAAAAGCCTTTACGACTAGAAGCATTGCCAAGCATTGTGAAAACACGAAGGGAAAGATTTAATACTATGGAATTTTTGTAAATTACTGAAATTTATCAGTCGTTGGAATTTTCATGGAAATGTTGAACTTGTTTAATGAAGTTTGTTATAGAGAAAATATATATTTACAATAAATAACGTTCAGTAAAGATTTAGAGGGAAACATATACGATAAAATTATATTCTGATATTATTTTCCGTGTAATGTTTTTTTAAATAGTTTTTAATAGTTTGCTCTAACTACTTACTGGACAAGTTAAATAGGCAATTTAATATGTTGACCAAATGTGTGATAAATATATATTTGAAATTTAAATTGTATTCATATTTTAATATGTATTTTTAATTAAATAAAAACTTATAAAAAATCAGTGTATTTCTTTACAAATTATAATTTTTAAAAACGATAAATAATTATTAAAACAGTTGTTATAATAAATATAACTTTTTTACTAGGTCTCTAGGTCTTTTCCCTATACTCCTTGTTCTTTTGCTGACTAGATAAGTCACTATGACAGCCCCTCTTGAAATGTCAATGTTTTATTACTTTGAACGTCCTTTTGCATTTCTAAAGCGACATTTTTATACTTTTCTGCCAATTTATCATCCTTTGCAACTCCTAAAGTAGATAAAAGCTTACATAATTTCAACTGAAAAATTAAATATTAATTTCCAAAGGACTTTTGCTTACCATCTCCTTTGGCATACATCTGACTTAAATTAGCGCAACTATACATGTTTCCTAAATTACACCCTTCTAATGCATACTGGAAAGCTTTTTTCATATCTTTAGGTACATCAAATTGGTCACTTTTGGATTTATCAGTACTATTTGAACTCGTGTCAGATTTTTTAACACCTACTATATACATTCCCGATAAATAATAACAGGCATTCGCATTTTTCCCGGAACAAGCTTTCTGTAATAATTTCATACCCTAAAATGTACAATTATAACAACATTGAAAAAAGTAAATATTTTCGCACAAACCCTTATCACATCTTGTTCTAATTCTGGACGATCATTTTTAGTAATTAGTAATAGTCCCTGATTTAAGCAACAGTCTGGTTCGCCTAAATTACACCCTTTTTCAAAGTAATCGTATGCTACTTTAAAGTCAGACTTTTTTGTACCTTTTCCCAACAAACTATACGTCCCATATTTTAAACAACTTTTGCCATATTTATATTCGTCACAATTATTTTTGTATACCTTTCCAGCTTTTTCGTAGTCTTTCTTTATAGATTCCAAGAAATCTGCTAATAAATGACATACTAAAAAAAGGAAAACATTAAAATGTGGCTTTAAAAAATAAGGTTATGCAACAGCGTTTAATTTTACCTTCAGGTTTTTTCTCACTGTAACATCCAAATCTGTATTCTATACCTAGATTTTTAACGTATTCTTTAACTTCACTTTCTGATTTTAAATTATATGCCATTTTTTATCAATAAAAAAGGTTAACTTTCAAATAAATTTATATATTGATTTGGCACTACTGACAAGTTTATTTTGCCTACTTTTGCAAGAATGCAAGTACATAGTTCAAATCCCACACAAAAGTCACAAACACAAAACGTAAATTTCTTAGAATAGATGCAAATGTGATGCAAACATATGTATGGAATTTAGTCAGTAGACAATTTAAATGCTTTCAGCATCAGTATCCATACATAACCTAAGTCCATGTGGTTTATTTATCGTTTATCGATTCATTTTGCACAAAATATTATTTTGTGTTCATCTTGTTAGATTTGACTTTGTATATACATATATTTTTTAATGTGATAATTTAAGATGTCTCACTCACAATTTTATGCTCACGAGAATGTAAGTTTAGATAAAAACGTTGACGCATCAATAAAGCCCGTCGAAACGAAGGCAGAAGATTTGGACAGTGTATATGAAATATACAAATGTGTAGATTGGATCAAATCTAATAATTTCCAGAAGGTATAAAATGTGAAACTATAGTTACTGATTTTTTTAAACTTCTTGTTTAAGGTATGCCTACAATTTCCAGATTATTTGCTACCCGATTCAAGCGAAGTTGCATTCAAATTGCAGTCCATCTTAAGTCAAATTGTTTACGTTTTAGGAGATACTGCGTATGAAAGGTAATAACATTTTTTTGGCTATAACAAATGGTGTATAGAGTTTTATTATATTAAGATATTCATTAATTTTTTATTTCAGTTGTTGCATAGATTATATTGCAGCTGCACATATCAATGCCGATGCAATTATTCACTTTGGACCAGTTTGCTTCTCAAAAACATCTGCCAACATTCCTTATTTAAATGTCTATGAAAAACATTTCCTTAATGTCGAAAAACTAAAAGCCAGCTTTGAGGAAAAATTTGGGGGTGGTAATAGTGGAATTACTATTTTAATAGACGCTGGTTATATACATCTTTCAGGTATGTACTAAATATATCTCCGTTTCGATAGACGTAGCATTTTGTGTACTTTGTAGATGATATTCAAGTAGCATTTCAAGCATATAAAAATGTTAAGGTGCAAAAAATAGATGAGGATCCTTTAGTCATTAAAAATAAGGTTATAATATTTCTCGGCAGCAGTGAGAGGAAGTTGATGAACATAGAATTTACTTTTCAACGTAAGTAAATTAATTTTAAAATTTTCTGTGTCTATCATATAATGTCAGATAGTTTATTGTCAATATTTTTAGCCAAACAACTTTATTACTATGACGGATCTATAAAACAATGCGAGGCCCAAACAAAAGTGCTGAAACGAAGAAATTATCTCATGGAAAAAATCAGAGATAGTAAAACGATAGGTATTGTTATTGGAACTCTTGGTGTTCAAAACTATTTAAAAATTATCGAAAGATTGAAGAGCTTAATTAAATCAAGGGGGAAAAAATATTACCTGATTAGTGTGGGAAAACCGACCGTAGCAAAACTGGCAAATTTTCAAGAGGTTGGTGGTTGTATAATTCAACGATTTTCTATTTAAATTCTTTTTATTTCAGATAGAAATATATGTTGTAGTAACTTGTTCCCTCAGTGAAATATACGAAAATCGTGATTTCTACAGGCCCATAGTAACGCCGTTCGATGTGGAAGCTGCTCTGAACCCTGACCCTGATAAAAACATAAGGTTTTCCTACGATTATAATAATTTTTTAAACGATAAACCGGTGGGTGAATATAGAGGCGAGGAAGAAACTGCAGACGTCAGCCTTTTAACAAATAAAATACGGACTTTAAACCATCAAGAGGAAAGTGCTTTTAATATGGACTCAAATACTTCACAAATAGCTGTTAGGCCGGACGGTACGATTATGCTGAGAGGTAGTCGTGGAGCAGAGTTTTTAGCTCAGAGGTCGTGGAAGGGTTTAGAACGGGATGTGGCGGTAAAGGAAGCGGAACTAGCCAAGGAAGGAAGATTGGGTACTGCAAAGAAATACCAAAACGAACCAACGTGATACTTTTCAAGTAGATCCTTTTATTTTTTTAGAGTTTTTGCTGTAAAGTAAACTGATTATTAATAATGTTTAATTTATGTACGTTAAATATTTTTCCTTAATTTAAAATTATATTTTTCTATAATTTCGTTTCCTGCATTCCCGTAGTTTCCGTTTACAACTTGCTTTACTTTTTCTTTATAACTTGAGGTACAAATTCCGGCGAAATAGCCAAACGTAAGAAATCTGCATACATGTCGAGCCTTTGCGTCATCTAGAACGAAATAGATCGAAAAAACAATCTAAAGACCATTTTAAAATAATTTACCTGGAATCCCCAATGGTCTTTTACTTGTCGGCACAAATTTAGGTCCAATTCCGCTATTAGTAAACCGTTTGTGGTTCTTGGTAACCCCTAAAATAAAATTCTCTTAGAGGTTAAAAAACAAGGAGTTAATTGGTACAACTACAACAGGTGCAACTTTGAAATTCCAAAGAACATTTTTTTAAAATCTTCGTAATTTTCATATTCTACTGCTGGTGCAACCTCTAATAACAGCTAGCACATACCCAGTTGGGAGCTACTGTCGCGGATTTAACTAGGTCATTGGCTCTAGTTGCCTATGTTGGTTGGTCGACGGTGTATCCTACGTCATTGCCCCACGTTGGGCGCCATGCCGAGGATTTAGGTATGTCGATTGTCTATCCTCTGTCTAGCCCCACATTGGGCGCCATGACGCAGATTTTGCGCGGTCTGAGTAGTTTGTGGTGGAGTTGACCTACATTTTTCTCCCCTTGGCATATTTAGAAGGTTGTAAACCATCATAATCCATCCGGAAGGAGTGTACATGTCTGGGTCCCTTTTCACCTGCGGTGTTGGGTCGTTAGTCGCCCGCTTGCAGATGAGGGGGTTCCAAAGCATCTTGATTTCCTCTTTAACATTAGCCACAGGGGACGTCAGGGAAAGACGCGAAGATTTTTGCTATTTGTTTGACCTGAACTACACGACCTCTTTTGTAGAATTGTTCCCAATATCCGAAATATAGATGAATTTTGAAGTTCAATGGGCAACATTGATAAGCTCGCACATACGAATTAGGTCATAAGCTGTCCAGTAGCAGGGTCGAGAGGACTTTAGGAAGGGCAGTTTAAAAAATAACGATCTAATTAGCTAGGGACCCAAAATGGCTATCCATTGTGTTTATTAATTTTCTAGTTAGCGGTATTTATCATGATTTTAAAATTTATCTCCAAATCAACGAAATTTAAAAAATATATATTTTTTATATAAATTTAATCATTACATTCCCCACAGAATAAAACAATTTCTGGTTTCTGTCAAAGAAAGAGGAAATAATTCACTCTAGTAACATCATTACCATCTAGAGAGTTTTGTGTTAATCATTGCCAATGGTGTAAGTCTGGTTGCCTAACATTCGCTATCATGGATCCCTATATCTAAAAAGAAAACATATAAGTGAATATTCCTTTCTTACCGGTGATCTAGAACCGTTGGGTGCAGCTACATAACTAGAACCATAAAAATGACCAAAATCTTTGTGTGCCGGCTTGCCATTGCCAGACGTAAATTCGTGCTCGAAGATTTCAGTTCCGACCCTATTAATCGCACACGTAAAATATCCGTTTGCTATAGCAGCATTTCTTGCCTCGATACCCCACAGAGGCTCGCTCAGTTCTCCAACCTAGAATATAAAATATGTAACTAGTTGTGCGAACACGTAGAAAACTTACGGTAGCAGACGGATTGAACACGATTTCGGCTCCGTTGATGCCAAAAGCCAACCAATTTAGAGGGTGGTGTCTTCCGTAGCAGATATTAATTGCTATTTTTCCAAATTCCGTCTGCAAATAAACACAATTTATTCACGTGTACCTCTCGTTACTTATTTTACCTCAAATACTGGGTGTCCAGTGTTCCCTTCGAAATAGTAAGTAGATTCGTTAAAGTCACCAACCCTCGGTATGTGATTTTTCCTGTGTTTTCCTAAGTAGTCTCCGTGATTGTCTATGACAACTGCGGTATTCCAAATAGTCTCGCAATGTGTTTGGTCTCTTTCCAAAATTGGAGAAATTATTACCATATTATATTGCTTGGCCAACTGCAATGACATCTCACGGTAAAATTTAAAAATATATACAGGGTGTATTTAATTTAAGGAGCACAAAGGTTTTTTGTCACTGAAATATTGCAACCTACTATCTATTTTCATAATTTCATTAATATACAAAATTTTAATGTGCCAAAAAAATTGAGTTTTCTTTAATTGGCAATTACCTCTGCTAAATATAATGTAGTAGGTCCCTGTTCTGCACTTTCTGCGTATTCGCACCATGGAATCTTCTCTCTGGTACAAAACGCAAATGGCATATCTGCAATGCAAAGTCCGTTCAATTTAAATGTCTATATACGATATATAATTTTAAATCTAATAAAAAAACTACACTGGTAAAAGTGAACGTTGTGCATAATACTATTGAAAATAATTTTCTGCCTAGATCACACTTACAGAAAGGTTAGAAATTAAAAAAGAACAGAGTTAATTACAGTTCAAAAAAATCGTACAACTTATAACTTACTACCTTAAACACTGTATTCCAGTTTAAACGTTTTTAGATTGTTTCTGAAATTCGTTGAAATTATTTTAGCAAACTTAAAAAATCTTAATATAAATAATAATGAGCCTATTATTTTTCGCAACATTTCTTTTGACATAATATTTTCAATATGTTTTATCCAAAGTTATAAAATTGGAAAGGGTGTTTTTTTTAAGGTATTTCAGTATAACTTTTATCCGTTATCATGGCTGATCTGATATAAATGTCATTTGAGCAGAAACATCCTGTATAGCAAAAATAACTTTTGAGTTACCGGCACAAATAAACAAAAATATGTTAAACTTACTCCATGCCTCCTGAAAGCAGAAGATATTTACACCTCCCTTAAATGCGACTTCAATGGCTTCCTTAGCCAGCTTAAACATTGCATCGCGGGTCTCTTTAATAGGAGTGGACGTAGGAACAGGGTGTTCGTGCTGGAATAGTCCCACTCTAACTTTTCTCGGAGCTCTCAACTGCTCCTCTTTACACTTGAATCCACTCGATACCACATTAATTTTATAAAGGGACGCTAGTTTGCTTACTTCTTCGGGCACACTTATTTCACTAGAATATTAAATTTCAGTAAATCAGTATAACTGTTTTCAATGGTGATAAAACGAGGGTCCCATAACATTTTTTAGACCTACATAGGAAGTTTCGTCATGAAACAAATTTGCAAAATAAAAATTTAAGGGTTTCTTTTTCATAGCCAACTAAGAGATACAAACAGCCGTTTTTTTCTTTTTCAAAATTTTCATTTTTCTTAAATTTGCAGTGACTTACGAAGTTTGAGAATTATAAGATCATGAAATTAAAATTTAATTATGTGTAACTAGGAGAACAATTTAATTTTGCGAAAAATAAAAAAAATCTGCAATCCTTTTTAGTTTTTTATTTCACAAATTTCATTCAAAATAACGTCAAAAAGATCTCTCTATGTGAATGTAGGACCTACAAAGAGTCCCTTAAAAAAAAGCATAGGACCAGACACCACTGCTGGTTTTTATGAAAAATGTTACATAATTTACTATGCAAATATTTTTACAAAAACTTACCGTGTTTCTTGTCCATAAAGTACATTATGAACTTTTTCATAATCATCTTTGGGCAGTTGTTTCAAAATATCTTCAATGCTTCGAAATTCTTTAATGTCAGACATATTAAATTATGTTTAATAATATAGTGAAATTGCTATACTTATATATTTATTATTATTATTATAAATTATTTCTTCAGCTCAGTAATAGAGGCCTGTTGAATTTGTTGAATTTAATAAGTGGTATATGGGTTTGTTGAATATTTATAAATAATTATATTGAATTAAATTTCCTCAAAAATATTCTTTTCTAAAAATAGGTAAATTAGTTGGGTTATTTAACAATAACAAATAGGTATATGCAAATACTTTAGTACACCAAGCATATGATTTAACAATTTAATTTTCGTATTATGTAGAGAAAACTTAGGTAACTTTATAGTATTTACTAAATACTTACAAATTGTTTAAATATTTACGACATAATTCCTGATATTCTGCTGATATCTTTCTGTTTAGATAAACCTTGACAAAGTGTGTTTTGATAATGGTAATGGTATAATAAAAATACTAAATATAAGAGCTTAGGCATATGATATTTTAACAAAAAAGAAAATTATTACTTGCTTCCCAATATTTTCATTCTAAAAATTCGTCCCTAAAAAATAAACATAGTCTCCAGTACAGGGTGAACCAAATATTGAATTGGAAATTGGATTTTATTTGATTGGATAAGAGAATACTAGATTATTTAACATACTTCATTTTAATTTGGGTGGTATTTAAAAAATTGTGGACGGAATATAAAAAAAAAAGAAGAAAACGTAACGACTCTTGTAAAACAGTAATTGACGAAACCACGTAGCCATACCATTCTTTGTTGTTGTCGTTACTCGTCATTAGTCCAAAATTGATCACATTAAAAAAAATTGAAGAGGCCATCTTTTTAACGGAACACCCTGTATAAATATTACAATAGAACATTAGGGCCTTTCGATTTGGCAAAAATAGTAACTATTAGTAGCTAATAGCTATTTAGAGTTACTCTGAACTGATATTAGTTGCTAATAGGTACTAATTTTGCCAAAACGAAAGCCCCTATTGTAGAAGAATTCTGCCAACTCTAGCTGTTGTTCTAAAACCCATTTAGTCGATGACGTCATAGAAATAAACTTGCGTTTCACAACGCAAGGTTGCGTCACTTAACAAAATTTGCTACTGATCCGGAATTTTATTTGAAATTTTTGTTTTGATATTAAACAATAAATGAACATTTTGAATTTGTATTTATTACAGCTTTTGAAATTCATCTAGGTATTGAAATATTTTAAAGAATATACATCACAGAATATGCCTCCAACATTTTCCATTTTAAATGTAGCGCCATTTTGCTTTTTTGATCAAATCAAAATATAAAAATAACGTCATTTCTATTTAGGGAATGCTGTGCGTGACACTGCGTGAGGGAACGTTGGCTTGGCTTGAAATAAAAATTAGTGTAATAAGTATATCCTATAGATAATAAGCCGGTTTTTAATTTTAAAAGGTAAGTAACAATATTCTGTACAATATGAATATAATCGTAATTAATAAGCGTTAATTATTTTTAGTCCAAGGTCGCTGTTTACCGCCTTTAGAATACACTCGCCCCAAATGTGAATAAATAATAAGAATTCCAGTTGTTTTCATTTATTTAAAAACAAGATTAAATAAACCTCTGCAAAGGTAAGAATTCAAAGTAATACTTAAAGTGATACACAACATATACATATTTTAGATGGTGGACGTAGACAAGCTCAGTGATGCAGAGCTGCGTACAAAACTGTTGGAGTTTGGGTTCCCGGTGATGCCCATCACTGGAACCACAAGGAAGGTGATGTCCAAAAAGCTGAAAATGCTTCTGGAAAATAAGAATAAGATTGGATCTGATGGAGGCAGAAAGTATAATAAAAGATTAATGGCTTGGGTATATCTTAACGTTTATTATTTGTAGGTCACTGGGCAGGTACTCGAGTGAAGAAGATAGTGATACTGAGCTCAAAGTAACTAAGAAGAAGGACAACCGACGAGCTACTATGGCAGTTCCGATAATGCAACCTCCTTCAGTTACAACTAGAAGGAAGAGCACTCGTTTGAATGATACAGAAGTGGAGGTACCACCCAGTGTTTAATATTATGTAATTATTATTATGTGTCTGTTTTTTAGGATTCTCACAGTCCAAGAAGAGAAATAAAGACCACGACATCCTCCACTACCACCAGAACGCATAAGATCTTAAAATCTGCCCAGGATGAATTTGATACCGGATCTGATTCTGAGTCGGACATCTTAACGAACAGTTACAATAAAGGCAATGACCTGGATTACAAGAGGAGTTCACCGATAAAGTCGGCATTAACATCTTCTTACGCTTCTAGTACAGCGAATAGATATTCTCCACTGAAACCGATCGATGCGTCTTACAGTTCTTCGAGGAATATTTCATTTTCTACTGCTAACGCCTCCCCTAGTCGTCTAACTTCGTACAATTCTCCGTCGTTGGCTTCGGAATACGCTTCCGACAGACTGAATCAGATCAGATCCCGGCTCAGTTTGAACAGTTCAGGTAAGTTTGTTTATTTTTTCCTGAAGGAAAATATATTATGTTACTTTGTTTTAGGGTACGACAAGCCCTTGTATTCCACATCGCCTGCACCGGAGAAGGAGGAGACTCCGTTTTTGAGTAACTTTACTAAAAGATTATCAGCGATGACCTCTCAGAAAAATGATTACGATTACAAGAACGACATTATTAAAGAGCACGATACAAATGGATCCGGTTACGTTAGAAGCCAGCTCAGCAGGTAAGTTTATATAAGTTATTGCAAATTGTTTTGCCTATAAATGTATTTATCGATATCGAAAAAATTTGAGAATTTAGGTGGTGTACCTTAAGGTTCAGTATTATTTAATATTTTTATTGATGATGCAGGAAAAATCGTATTAGCTGCACCTATTATATGTGGATGTTTAAAAATGTATTTATAGACAAACACTATTGATAATTGCCACATATTCCATCAGTCTGATTTTGTTAGGTTTATGGTGTCTGGAAAACAAACCTTAAATATAAATAAATGTACATTTATGACTTACTCTCGAAAAAAAGAAATGTTAAAGTCGCCATATAATTATCCTGGCAAGGTTTTGGAAAAACTTAAGTGTATAAATAAATAAATAAATAAATAAAATACCTACGAATATATTTTTGACGCCAAATTAACATTAACAATAATATTACGAGGCATATAACCAAAGTAGGAATATTCAATTTTTTAACACCTTCAGAGAAGAGAAAAAATGTAAATCACAAGGTGCTAGATCAGGGCTGTGAGCAGGATGGTTGATTTTATTCCAACCGAATGAATCCAAGTGTTGCTTTGTGGTGTCAGCTGTGTGGGGACGTACATTGTCATGCAACAATCACACTCCCTTCGTTAACATTCCCCTTTTTTTGTTCTGTACGGCCCTCCATAGTGGATCGAGGGTTTCTCAGTACTGCACAGTATTAATTGTTCTCCCCTAGGGCAAAAAGTCGATGAGGAGAATCCCTTTGAGGTCCCAAAACACAGTTGCCATGATTTTTCTGGCCAAAATAAGAGTTGAATTTTTTCGCTGATAGTAAAGACGGATGTTGCCACTGCATCGACTGTCTGTCATCTCTGGGGTGTAGTGGGCCTTCTACAGTTTGTTACCAGTCACAATACAATCGAGGAATTATTCACTGGTGGGATTCGGAATAGTGGCACTAATTTCAACATACCACTACAACAACAGTTCTCAACTGACTGAGACAAACGAGAGCGCGTTCTGTTCCCAACACTTAGGCGTTGAATACAGTGTTGCCAACTTTGTCAAAAACCAAAAACCACAGAGCATCAGTCTCAATATTCTTACTTTGTGGATATACCTCATAGATACTAATAAAAATTTAGGATTCGTTAGTATTAAATCACAAGAATTTTGTGATTTTCACACAATAGTAATGTTTTTTAATTCCCACGTTAGGTTTAAGGTAATATACAGACTTACAAATTCGTTTCTCACTACAGGGTCTCGGAAACGGTAAGAGGTATGAAGTAGCTTAAATGGGGACAAAGTTGCGTAATCAGAGGACCAACATTATGCCACTAAAAAATCAATACTAATATGATTAGTTTTCGAAAAAAAAAGAACACTGCCTTCTATCGAATGGCATAATCAATTTTTATATGTAACGTTTCGTCTCTCCAGGACCATCATCAACTTCATTTTTTTAAATTCGATTGGAAATTTTATTACATTTTTTGCAAGCTTTCATGACCCTCACTACTGTACTGCTTCAGCCCGAACCAGATTCAGACGTTTTGTCTCGAAAAATTCATCTTCAGTGTATTCGTTCCAAATTTATCTAAATTTTTTGTTTAGATTTCTTTGTTTATTGAATTATCGTACACTGTAAGTGTCGTTAGACCCTGTGAAATCCATCTAGTTATTTAAACTATTACCATCACGCATTACATTAAAACATTTATTATTAATAACTATTATCATCACTCGATAAGTTGTTGCGTCAGAATTATATTACAATTTTAATTTTATTATGACAAATTTATTCTTAAAAATGCATATGAACAACCAAAACGCCAACTGAATATTAGTCTTTAAAAATTTTCAGTAAATGTTCAAAAACATTTTCGTTTTGGCAAAGGTTGAAAATGAAGATCAGCATAATATCGGAATTTATTATATCTGTAACCGCAACTATGAAAGAGCATGTCAGATGTATTTGTATGAATATCCTGAAAAAAATAGATTGGAATTTGTTTGAATTTTGAGCACTCCAGAAGCCTAGAAATAACTATTGACACGGGAATAAAACTAATAATGTGTTATTTTAAGGTGTGGTGGTAATAGTTTAAATAACTAGATGGATTTCACAGGGTCTAATGATACTTACAGTGTACGATAATTCAATAAACAAAGAAATCTAAATAAAAAATTTAGATAAATTTGGAACGAATACACTGAAGATGAATTTTTCGAGACAAAACGTCTGAATCCAGTTCGGGCTGAGGCAGTACAATATTGGGGGGTCTTAAAGGCTTGCAAAAATCGTAATAAAATTTCTAGGGTTGTATTTAAAAAAATGAAGTTGATGATAGTCCTGGAGAGACGAAACGTTACATATAAAAATTGATTATGCCATTCGATAGAGGGCAAAAAGTGGCTATGAGAAAGTGTTCATCTTTTTTCAATAGCACCTCAAACAATAGCTGAAATGAAACAAAAACGGATTTCCAAAATTTCGGTTTTTTCAAATATTTCAAAAAACTAATCATGTTAGCCTTGGTTTTTTAGATAATAATGCATAATGTTGGTCCCCTGATTAAGCAACTTTGTCCCCTTTTAAGCTACTTCGTACCTCTTACCGTTTCCGACATCCCTGCAGCGAGAAGCGAATTTGTAACAGCCTGTATTCAGTTATTTGGTCTCCAAACTATATAAAATATATTGATATAATAGAAAGCGTAGGCTATTAAATTATTTTAGCAATTAAAGATCACATTTATCCTCCTATTCGTCACTTACAATATTTAAGATTGTTACGGTTTAAATTTAATTCATTGACTTTTAGCCGTAATTTGCAGCCGATTGCGTGTTTGCCACTTTTTAAGATTCTACCATAAAATAAAATAAAGCAGAAAAAATCTTGACGTGAATTTTTTTATTTTTGCAAAGTATTTTCGTTAGGTCTTAAATCTTGGATGACACTCGTTTACATAAACGATTTTATAGACGTTCACATCAAAACTGTTTGTTTCTCTTTATTTGTAAATAAATAATTTAACTTTTCCTTATCGTATTCATGTAACGTTAGGTTTGAACCGAAAAAATAATCCGCGAGTTAAAACAAATCGTTTGTTTTCAGTTACAGGGCTGCGAGGGGAAGAGACACCACGTACGACTACAAATCGAACCAGAACAGCATCCTGAAGAACAATTTTGTGTCGTTCGCGGTACTGGCTGGCGCGGCCCTGTTCTTTATATTTTTGGCGATCATGTATCTGGGAATGAGATCGGATACATCCGTCATACCAGCTGGTAAGATCAACCCTTATTCAAAGCAGTAAATAAGCATTTTTAAATTGAATTTTCGAAGTAAAAAGTACAACTTTCACCAGACGACATTTCTAATCAATTTCCCGCAAGTCCTGCACGATTGTTATTTATTATTGCAAATATGGGGATCTTGTGTTTCATTATTTTTATTAAGCTCATGTGGAATATTCATTTAAGAGATTAGCCGATTAGCCGTTAAGGTTTTTGGATTTGCTTTCGTAGTTTTTAAATGGTTTTGTGAATTGTGGTGTTTTTTTTATACTTATATCCTCTTTTTATCTTGTACTGTTTTTAATAAACAATAAATATTTTGCTTTCGCCGGTTGTTTTCTTTATTTTTATTGCACCTTCCTCCTGTTTTATTGTATTTACCTGCAGCCAAAATATTTATTGGTTATTAAATTCGTGGCAGGGAACCTAGTTTTATTGACACAGTTTTTTAATAGGCCGTTTGAATGAAGAAAGACTACTACCCTGTGAAAAATGCACCCTCGCTTTGTACCATACATAAAATCTAACCTTTTCACACTAGTGCGTAAAGTGCACATCTTATGCACTAGTGCGTAAAGTGTATATCTTAGGCACTAGTGAGAAAAATAAATTTGTCATCACGACTTTTTAATCTGTCATACTAGTGATATAATGTAACGAAAACAGGGAAATAATAGACATAATTGAATTTTAAACACTAGTGCATAAAATGAAATACATTGCACACTAGTGTGTAAAATGTACACCTGGTGCGCAGTTTTCTTATCGGGTAATTTTAATGAAGGACTTTTTACTACGGAAAGTGCAGGCATGCTCTGTAATATACATAAAATCTAACATTTTCACACCAGTGCGTAAAGTGCATATCTTATGTACTAGAGAGCAAAGTGAGAAAAATAAATTTGTTGTGTCATCATGGCCTTTTAAACTGTCATACTAGTGGTATAGATAACGAAAACGGGGAAATAATAATAGACTTACTAATTGAATTTTAGGCACTAGTGCAAAAAATGAAATACATTGCACACTAGTGTGTAAAATGTACACACTAGTGCGCAGGTTTCATATTGGGTAGTTTTAATGAAGAAAGACATTTTACTACCTTTTGGAAAATGCACGCACGCTCTGTACTACACATAAAATGTACCCTTTTCACACTAGTGCGTAAAGTGTTCATCTTACCCACTAGTGCGCAAAGTGAACATCTTTGGTACTAGTGAGAATAATAAATTTGTTTTATCGTGGTAACCGTACTGATGATACATGTTGGGTTAGATGACATCTGGCCATCACTACCTTTTAAACTGTCACACTAGTGTATTTCATGCCGCAATAATTTAACAAAAACAAAGAAATAATAGACTAATTGAATTTTAGGCACTAATGCAAAAAATTAAAATACATTGCACACTAGTGCGCAGTTTTCTTATTGGGTAGTTTTAATGAAGAAAGATTTTTTACATTCCCGTGAAAAATGCACGCACGCTCTGTGCTATACATAAAATCTACCCTTTTCACACTAGTGCGTAAAGTCCTCATCTTACGCATTAGTGCGCAAAGTGAATATCTTAGTGAGAAAATGAAAAAATTTGTTTTATCATGGTGACCGTACTGATGATACTTGTTGGGTTAGATGATATTTCGCCAACACTTCTTTTTAAACTGTCACACTAGTGTATTTCATGCAACAATAATTTAAGGAAAACCGGGAAATAATAATAGGCTTACTAATTGATTTTTAGGCACTAGTGCGTAAAATGAAATACATTGCATACTAGTGTGTAATATGTACACACTAGTGCGCAGTTTTCTTATTGGGACGTTTTAATGAAGAAATATTATTTACTACCTTGTGGAAAATGCACACACACTCTATACTATACATAAAATGTACCCTTTTCACACTAGTGCGTAAAGTGCACATCTTATGCACTAGTGCGCAAAGTGAATATTTTTGGTGCTAGTGAGAAAAATAAATTTGTTTTGTCATGACCATACTGATGATACTCATTGGGTTAGATGACATTTTGCCATCACCACATTTTATACTGTCACATTAGTGTATTTCATGTAACAATAATTTAATGAAAACGGAAATAATAGTAGACACTGTCCTATTGTGTTTCAGACACTAGTTCATAAAATGAAATACATTGTGCACTAGTGTTTTAAAAATACACTAGTGTATATAACACTAGTGCACTGGTGTTTTTTTTGTTACATAAATAATTAATATGCACTAGTTGTTAAAAGGAATACTTCATTCTTACCGCAAAATCAAATACTTTATGTACTAAAGCAAAAAATATATGTAATTTATAACATACTTTTTGGCAGTGGAAAAAACCAGTGAATACATACAGGGTGTCTCGAAAATGTGGGTTACCGCTTTGGGATCATATTCTACTCATCGAATTCTACTCGTCACAAATTAAAAAGAGTATGTAAATACGTGTCCCAAACTTTCTTATTTTTAAGATGGAACTTGCTAAGCAAAGGAAAACATTCAATAAGTTTATTTTGTGTCCATCAGAATGTGTTCTGCAAGTAGCGACTCACATTTTTGAGGTAAATTTATTTTAATCTTAAAAAATCGAAAATAGCTCGTTTTTCGAATAAAGTGGGGAAATGTTTCTTCTTGGAAGCACAGATAGGGATCAAATACACCGATAACATTTCTGGAATACTTAGGATTGTCAAAATTTTGTAGTTTTTGGTGTACCTCGGCATTTCTGTCACTAGCTTGTATACGGTTAACATATTGGTGAAAACGGCCTGGAACTAACCCAAAGATGGCGGCACAAATGTAATACATGCGTGTTAGTACTAACCTTCAACAGAAAAGTGTCAAAGCTTTGTGACATGTTTGACACGTTTCTTTTGAAGGTTAGTACTGTCTAACACACAAGAATTTTTGATTTGTGGTGCCATCTGTGGGTTAGTCTCGGGACTTTTTGACCGATGCGTTATGTCAACTCATTGAATTTTACATTTAATTAGTAAGCTATCGATTGAAGTATCGTTTATCTAGTTTTGGAGATACTTTTTTTTAAAACTTTTAACACCATGTATCTCAAAAATTAGAGAGTACATTCCCGAAGTAACGGCCTACATTTTTGTGACACCTTGTATACAATAAACTACCTTTTTGCATTAGACAAAATTAAATAAATTTTGATTTTATAGTGTTCATATTTCTCTTCGCATAAGCACATGTTTAATTTTTGCAGGTATAAATATTCCACGCTGTGATAGTACAGACATAACATCGAAGAAAGGCATAAACTGCGTGTTCGAAGACGACGTCGTAACCGCCATTCATTTGCTGAACGTCGTAAAGCCGGAATTGCAGAAGAGAGCGATCGCAAACAGATGCTTCGATATGAAACTGAAGGCGCACATGACGGAGCCCGAAATCGTAACGTTTTGTAAGACGAATTTTGGAATAAAGGTAAAGCCGTTATCGGATAATTAAAAATCGCATACGTTAATTTTTATTTCGGTTTTAGGATGAACATCAGATAAGGACCGACTTGAGAAATTTGGAAATATTGAGCTTTTACAATCCCGATTGGAATATAAACGTGGCGCAAACGGAAAATAATAACGGCTTAGTCAGCGAATCCGATATAGCAGAGAACATGGTAAGCCATAAACCTCTTTTCGACTGTAACGGTGTAAACAATTTTCTCTTTTATATCGTAGGAAAAAGTGGTTTTTAACTACAGGACGAAAATTACCAGTTTGGTAATGCTTCGACCCGACTTGCCCTGGAGGTGCAGGTTTTACAACACCTTCTCCATAGTATTTAACAGTTTGTTGTTTATCGGGGTGACGTTCGGCCTGCTCTACCTCCTGAATTTGGGGTTCAAGTATTACAAACACCATGAGCAGAAACAGAAGGATGAGATCGGTTTTATGGTGGAGAAAATCATCGACATTTTGCAAACGAACGCTTCGGAAGACGGCGGCGAGAACTACGTGGTTATAAATCACGTGAGGGACATGATCCTGCCGGTGAAAGATAGGCAGGGTGAGCGCGTCTCTCCTTATGTTAAACTGGACCCGTCTCACTTGATCGTTCCTGTTTCAGGTAAGGAAAGGACTTGGGCGAAGGCGGTGAAATATATCAACGAGAACGAGTCCAGGGTCCGAACGGAAATCCAGGAGGTCCAAGGGGAGCCTTTCGAGGTGTGGAGGTGGATCGGTAGCGCAAATCTCAGCATAAGCGGGTAAGTCTTCCTTTTTAATGTCGTGTTAACTGCACATAGGGTGGTTACGTTTTTTTTATCAAACTAGAAACAGTTAAATTACGAAAACATAACGTTTGTTATACAAGTTAGCGACGGGTCTCGGTATTTCTGTGACGGCATTTTGTAACGGTATTTTGTTGGAAAGAAGAATTAGAAATTATCTCAACTGGATAGTACGAGGGTTGCCATTATCAATCGTTTGTTTTTCAAAATATTTTTCATGCACTTGAATCAATTTTCGATTCACTTTTTCCATTCAGATCCAGGTATCTCCAAAACATGCATTTCGAACGCATCAGGTGCTTCTACAGGGGTCGAAAAACGATAATCTCGTCTTAATTTATGTTTGAAATGCTGGTATAAAAAAAAATCAATGGATGCCAAATCAGGCCTGTACGGCGGACGACTCATCAATTCGACTTTTCCAGTTCTCGAAAAGTCTCTTGTTTGAACAGATGTGCGAGAGTTCACATTGTCAGGAATTCCCTTCTTTTCCCGAAGACTTCTGGCAAACGAATGGTTGTGTACCATTCAGCGTTAACCTAATGGTACAGTTACCACGTGACTGGTTTTTTCGAAAATAGAGACGACCATTTGTTTAGAAGACCTTCGTGCGCGCACGGCTTTTGTTGGATTTGGCTCATCTTGAAAGACCCATACTGTCGACTGCTGTTACTGTAACGACACAAATACCACCTGTATGTCAAAATGTTCTGACTAAGTATACCGACAAAGAGGCGAAATTTGCGTTAGGGGCATCGGTTGTCAGATGGCAGCACCAGGATCGTCCAGTCCCGTGTAAAGCTGAGTTGGGTACTATTATCCATTTTTGTGTTTCAGTTACACTTTCCTAATGATATAAATAATTCCTTAGATAGTTCAAGTGACGTTTTGTTGGTGATAACATGCAGTTGTTGTAATGACAAAAAAATTACTACAGCTAGAAAATACACAAATACGCAATTTATTGCGTTTGAGACCACACGAAGAACCCCGCACAAAATCAACGGAAAATGGATCCCAGTCGATTTTGCTGAAATTGCAGTATGTGCATATTCTTGACTTTCTATCTATCCAAGATCACCTGGAGGTCAGGTAAAGGTCGTTTCAAGGTCAAACTGAAGAAAAGACCTGTATTGAATTTTGACCAGTGGGTGTAGGTTTTTGGTCTCTCCGAATCTGAATCTGGAGATAGCGTAACCCTAAAGGTCACCTTCAAGCCAATTCAAGGTCATTTCAAAATCAAACTAAAGAAAAGGCTTGTACTGAATTTCAACCAGTGCTTATATAAGTTTTTTTTTGAGGGGGGAACTGAATTCGGGGATAGCTTAGCCCTAAAGGTCATATTAAGGTCAAGCCAAGATCATTTCAAGGTCAAAGTAAAGAAAAGGCCTTTCACAAATGTAAGTATGTATGCTTTTGAGGTCATTGAACCTGAATACGTGAAAGGAATGACCTTGAAATGATCTTGACTTGACCAAAATGTGACCTTGTAGGGCTAAGCTATCCTTGAATCCAGTCACCTCTCCCCAAAACTTATATACGCACTGGTTGAAATTCAATACAAGTCTTTTCTTTAGTTTGATCTTGAACTGACCTTGAATTGACTTGAAGGTGACCTTTAGGGTTACGCTCTCTCCAGATTCAGATTCTGCGAGCCCAAAAACCTATACGCTCACTGGTCAAAATTCAATACAAGTCTTTTCTTCAGTTTGACCTTGAAACGACCTTCACCTGACCTCCAGGTGACCTTGCATAGCTAAGCTATCCCCGAATTTAATCAGAAAGTCAAAAACTATAATATAATGCAATTTCAGGAAAGTCGACTGGGACTCATTTTCCATTGACTTTGTGCGGGATTCTTTATTTAAAATCATTTTCAAGCAAATATACCATATAAATATACGTGTCCAACTTTTCATGGAGCCACCCTGATATCTCGCTCACCTGATATCCGAATATTTTGAAACTTTGGTGGTGAGTCTTTGGTAAAGTGAGTCTTTAGACTTAACCATATTTGATTGTTGTCAGAGGTGTTCGATTCTGAGATGGAAAAAGGAGAAAAAACTGTGTGTTTTAGAAGATGAGCCTCTGTTCTTTGGCTGGGAACATCTATGACGAACATCACCAAAGGAAATTTTTTTAGCACATTGTATTTCATATACATGACAAATTATCATGATTTTTCAATTTTTCCACTGTTTCTAAGGTTTCATAAAAAAAAATCAAACCACCCTGTACGTTCAATTTAATATTGTGGTTGGTCAAAATTTAACAAACCCGCTGCGGCACCCCGTACATAGCTCACCAAACCGATAGATAATCTTAAAAAACCACCAACCTTAACAATATCTAACTCGTTATGTAAATATTACACTTAATCCACGTTATGTTAAGGTTGGTCATTTTTAATTTTATCTATTTTGCAGGGACCGATCCGATTATATTTACCGGCAAGGAAGAAGGATCGTCGACGCTCAGTATTTGATAACGGAAGTGTTAAAATTCCCGCACAAAAAACTGTACTTCTGCTCTAGCAAAGACATCGAGATTAAAAATGAGGTACGCGACGGATTCCTATCGATTTTGTTGTTGCGCTGCAATCGTTGCGGCAAGGAACACCCCGTGTGTAGCGAAGATCCCACTTCTGATCTAATGAACGTAAACATGGCTCTGGTCGCTGGCGTAGTGAGTTTGGGGTTAAGTCTGTACCATTTAAACGAAATTTGCAGTGCTTTGCATATCCCGGCGGTCTCGGGTGAGGCGTATAATTATTACCTCGATGAGATTTTTGAGATTTATAACAATTCGTTGACGGATAGTGAGAAGAGTATGCAAAAGTCGTTTGAGGAAAAAATGTTACGCACTTCTACGCCTAAGAAAAATAAAAGTGTTGATTTCGATTACGAGACGAAGAAACATAATTTTCTTAAAGAACTCGAAAAAACCGCTGACGAAATTGATAAAATATCTAAATTGACCGTGAATCAGAAAGATGATTCCTTGTGGTATGAAGAGAGAAGAATGAGATTAACTGCCTCTAATTTCGGACGAATTTTCAAACTCTTAGATAAAACCGATCGGAGTAACGTAGTAAAGGAATTGCTACATTCAAATTTTACTGGTAACGTTTTTACAAGGTATGGAAACGAAAATGAAACTAACGCCATTAAAGACTTTGAAAAAATTATGGGACAATGCGTAGTCAGTTGCGGACTCATCATTCATCAAGACTACCCCTTTTTGGCAGCCTCGCCCGACGGGCTCATAGGAGACGATGCCCTCGTCGAAGTGAAATGCCCTTATAAGGCAAGAGATCTGACGCCGGAAGAGGCTATAAAACAAAAGCAGATACAATTCGCTGTTTTCGAAAACGGTTGCTTAACTTTGAAGAGGACCGATAAATATTACTATCAAGTGCAGGGGCAACTCTTCGTCACGGGGAGAAAGTATTGTTATTTTGTCGTTTGGACGCCATTGGGATTGCTGTACGAGAAGATCATGAAGGATCAGGAATGTTGGAATAAAATGTTTCCGAAACTGGAACAGTTTTATTTCGAGAATTTATTACCCGCTATTTTAAACGAGAAGTAGACAATTTCAATTAAAAAATTGATTCGATGTTTAACTAGTCTTTTATTATTTAATTTTCTCTCAATGCAGGATATAAAGCTTTGTATTGAATCGAAAGACATGTACTTGTACCAAAAAAAAGTTAAGTACAACTCAACTAACATTAACTTGTTTCAATCTTAATTTTCCATAATAATAAATAAAATGGAATTAAACGTTTCGTTACATTCATTAGTTTTAAGAGAATTCGAAACTTTGTTTTGTGTTAAAATCTATATAGACGTTTAAATATCTTCGAATATTATATTTAATATATCTGCAACTATTAAACTTAAACGCAGCAAAAGAATTAAAAGGGCAGAAAAATTTCCAAGCTTTTTTTTAGTGTTTTTTGAAAGGCTGTAATTTCGTGAATAATAGTCGTATGGTGAAAAAAAAGTTTCTGGTTTTGACATGAAAAATTTTTTTGAGGATCATTCGGCTCAATCAAAAGTATAATGCAAGGCAAACATTTTACAATTTTTTTTTTTTCAAAACTGCTCTGAAAAATTTTTTCTGGCTTAATCGATGCCAGGGTCATTTAGGATTATTCAACAGCTTTAATTTGTTTTTTTCTTCTATTTTCTGTGCGAGCTATTGAATGAAAAGTCACCATTTTTTTATGATCGTCGATATCTCATGAACAAATGATCCTACAGCGAACGGAAGGCAGGTGATAGAAACCTGAATCAATCTTCTTCAACGACTGCTTTGCAAATATTCCGAAAAGTACCAATATTTGTATGGTTTTTTTAGCTCAATATATGCCCATGAGGCCTGTAAATTTTGAAATCGATCGGTAGAGCATTTTTCTTTCCTGAATCGTCATTTTTATAAAAAATTTACGCAGCAGGTTTTTTGCTTAATTAATGATTTAGATGAAAGAATGTTTTTTGCTTTATTTTTCGCGTTAAATACTCTGAATACTGAGAAAAGAAAATCAAAATTTTGAAAAATTTAATTCAATTCTGAAAAAAAATCAATTTTTTATTTTTTTTTAATTTTTTTGCTTCCTCTTTTTTACAATTTTACATTTAATATTTCAAATGTAAAGAAAACAAAATTTTTAATTAAAAAAAAAAGTTTTGGAAAAGTCATCTTAATTATTAATTGATGTTTATTGAGCAACAAATCTGCTCTTTTAATTTTTTATAAAACTTGACGATTCAGGAAAGGAAACCGGTTCGACCAATCGATTTCAAAATTTACAGGCCTTATGGGCCTGTATTGAACTAAAAAAATACCTACAAACATTGGTACCTTTCTTAATAAGTAGTCGTTGATTTTCCAAAACGGCAGAAAAAGTATTTTTTTTGGCACTTTTCCAAGTTAATGCTGAGCATGAAAAAAAATTGGTTTTTTCAAACATAACAAAAGGTCTTTGAAGAGAATTGATTCAACTTTCGAAAACCCATAAACCAAATTGAAGCTGACGAATCAGGCCAAATGGTCTTGGCATTAAGCCAGAATAAAATTGTCTGAACTCACGTAGTTTTGAAAAGAAAATTGTAAAGTTTTTGCCTCACATTATTTCTTTTGATTGCGTCGAGAATGATGCTCAAACAAAATTTTTCAACTCAAGATTTCAAAACTAGAATCTTCAAGATTCTTTTCTTTTCTCGATACGACCATTATTCACAAAATTACAGCCTTTCAAAATCACTAAAAAAATTTGGAATTTTTTCTGCTCCTTTAATTTTTATTGCCGAGTGTACATAGGATTAATTTTGGGATACTACTTTTACAACATCACATAACAAAAATCATTCTTTAGGTAATTTAGATTAAAATTTAAAAAAATTAAAAATATGTTGAAGCTATCCCGTTTAAGAAAACACTACATTGTTTATTTTTGTTTTAATCAATAAGTATCTAGAAAACTACTGAATTTTGACAATCTAGGAGTATACACTCTTAAAAATTTTTTTAATGTGGATTACCACATGATATCCCAAAATTAAACTTCTCTGAACAATATATATATACACATACCTTATATACAGGGTGTTTCAAAAAACGTTCCGCTAATTTCTAGGGTAAATAGAATATTAAAAAATAATGTTAGTTTGGTTAATAAACATGTGTCCGAAAATGCCTCCTTCAGAAGATACGGCTCTGTAAAAGGGGCCCCAAAAATTCTTTTTTTTTATTTATCTCTGAGACGGTTTAAAATAGCTAAATGAAATTTAGACCACAAATAGGTTTGATTAGGTCTTGAAAGTTACTGCTGACAAACTTTTAATATTTTGTACAGGACCATCCCTGGAGGGGGGGTGCCACTTATTTTGCCCCCAAACTTTTTTTTACGGGGACATTTTTAATATTTTGGTAAAAAATAATATTTTTTAAATAATTTGCCATAAAAAAGGTACTCTTGCTTAAAGTCAAAAAAATTACCGGTTTTGGAGTTATTTGAGGTTTTAGCAAGTAATACTGACCGAATTAATAAAAATAAAATAATGATAATAAATAAACGCAGGGAATAATGACTGTTTCAGAAACAACAAGTATAAATTAGAGCAAATTATTTTGAGCTTAAAAGAGGTTTTAATTGCATGACACTTACACAGAATAAACAAAGGAAACTATTAAAAAAACAACAAATAACACAGAACAAACAGAAAAATATTGAATAAGTAGGTATGGATTTTTACATTAAATGTTCGAAATGTCCACCATGTTCCCGAATACATAATCTTAAACGTTTTTCTAGGGAAAACATAATTCTTTCAAGTGGCTGTGGTTCTTGAATTAACATTCTTAAATTATTTTCAACTCTTGCTTGAAGTTCTTCAATGGAATTTATTTCGCTGGAATATACTTTTTCTTTAACTAAACTCCACACAACAAAATCCAAGGGATTTAGGTCAGGGGACCGTGGTGGCCAGTGGATAGGAGCATCGGCACCCCGACCAATCCAACGATTTGGGAAATGTTCGTTAAGCCATCTTCTAACTTGTAAACTAAAATGAGGTGGGGCCCCATCATGCATAAAAAACATATTTCTTCTTAGATCAAGAGGCAAATCTTCTAATAACGGAAATAAACGATTATCCAAAAATTCATAGTAAACATCACCATTTAAATTTCCATCAAAAATATGGTAGGCAACAAGGCGGTTGCCTATTGTAGAAGCCCAAACATTCAACTTAAAATTATGTTGATAATGCCTTATACGTTTAACCTTTGGATTTTCATCGGCCCAGAAGTGACTGTTATGACTATTAAACATACCTTGTCTAGTAAAAGTTGATTCATCGGTGAAAAGAATATTTTGTAAAAAATCAGGACTCTGTCTCTTTCTTGCTTGTAATAATTCGCAATAGTCACTTCTCAAAAAGAGATCTTCAGGCAATAATTCTTGTACTTGCCTGTAGTGAAATGGGTGCAATAATTGTTCTTTTAATACACGGTGTACACTAGAAATACTTGTGTTACTTGCCCTTGCCACATTTCTTACACTTATCGTAGGATCCGCAACAACTACATTTAAAATATTTTCTTCTGTTTGAGGAATTCTTGCCACTCGTGGTCTTCCAGAATTTACCTTTTTTGGTTTAAAGGTTCCAGTATCACGGCATCTTCTCTCTAAATTCAAAAATGTTTTTGCATCCGGAACAGTTCTTCCTGGAAATTTTTCCGCATATCTTCTTTTCGCCGCTTTAGCATTACCATTACATTCCCCCAATGTTAACAACATATCGGTATAGTCACTATTAGTGTACATATTCATTTTCAAAGCTTTTAAAAGCGTTATTACTTGTTAAACAAACCAAAACTATCAACAACAATGTGTCAAACCAATCTGTCAAACAAGAAAAATCTGCAGTCTAAGCCTACTTAATAAAAGTAAACCAAATTATTTTCTTATTTTAGGTAAAACAAGTTAAAACCTCAAATAACTCCAAAACCGGTAATTTTTTTTACTTTAAGCAGGAGTACCTTTTTTATGGCAAATTGTTAAAAAAATTTTATTTTTTACCAAAATATTAAAAATGTCCCCGTAAAAAGAAGTTTGGGGGCAAAATAAGTGGCACCCCCCCTCCAGGGATGGTCCTGTACAAAATATTAAAAGTTTGTCAGCAGTAACTTTCAAGACCTAATCAAACCTATTTGTGGTCTAAATTTCATTTAGCTATCTTAAACCGTCTCAGAGATAATTAAAAAAAAAGAATTTTTGGGGCCCCTTTTACAGAGCCGTATCTTCTGAAGGATGCATTTTTGGACACATGTTTATTAATCAAACTAACATTATTTTTTAATATTCTATTTACCCTAGAAATTAGCGGAACGTTTTTTGAAACACCCTGTATATACCTTTACGAAGTATTAAGATTCTTATATTTTATGTTTATAATTATAGATATACAGTGTGTACAGATTTGATCCGGAACGTCCATGTAGAATTTTACAGGGTGGCGCGATTTTAATGTCAATCATTTTCAGAGTAGGGAGTTCATAGACACACGTATGGGACATATTGCTAAGGAGATAATGTTATCTCGTGGCTTGCTATGATTTTTTTAATAATGATGTTTTTGGAAAATCTTGCTAGGGATTTTTTTATTAGAAATTTGACAACTCTGCGTTATTCAACACACCCAAAATTTCATTAATTTATGTCGTTGCATGTTTTTTTTTATAGAGCCTCAAAGTCCCAAAAACTGAAAATTCTTATGAAAATATAGCGGGCTTTTAGAAATGAATAAAAACAATAAAATACAATTTAAAAGGGTTGAAAAGTCATGTTAAGAAAGAAAAAACAAAATAAACAGTTAATTACATAATGGGGTTTTTCAGACGACCAATAACCAGTAATTTGTGAAATTACTATCCCGTTAGTAAAAAATGTAGCTTCATCCGTATAAATGTTTTTTAAAAAATTTTTTCAGTAATTCTTACATCCATTTTTATTTTAGGTACTAGCAAAATATTTCTCACAAAACAAAGCCGTAATTAAAGCGTTCTAATAGATGTCATGATTTGACATTTCACAATATTATTTGTTTTTCACAGCAACTGATGAAACAAGAAAAAATAAATTTCTTCCCGAGTTATAAAAGTTGTCTTTAGATAATTTACCTAATTTTAAAATGTAATGGTACTCATATCGTTTTTTCTTTCTTAACATGATATTTCGACCTTTTTAAATTGTATTTTACTGTTTTTATTCATTTCTAAAAGCTCCATATATTTTCAAACTAAAATAAGAATTTTCAGATTTTGCAACTTTGAGGCTCATTAAAATAACATGCAATGACATAAATTAATGAAATTTTGGGTATTTGAATTTTAAACGGTGCTGAATAACGCAGTGTCATCAAATTTTTAATAAAAAAATCCGTAATACGATTTTCCAAAAACATCATTATTAAAAAAATCATAGCATGCCACGAGATAACATTACATATCTCCTTAGAAATATGTCCCATACGTGTGTCTGTGCACTCCCTACTCTGAAAACAATTGACATTAAAATCGCCCCACCCTGTAAAATTCTACACTGGCGTTCCGGATCAAATCTGTACACACTGCATATTTTTTTTCAAATTACTACGTTTGGTCTATGAACGCAATAAAAAAAAAACAGTTCATAAATCAAATTAGTTAATATGCGCTAGTAACTTTGTGATTAACATTATTTATAGGAACAGCTTTTATTTTTCATGTATTTTTCATATATTTATATTTATTTATATTAACTATTAAATAAAATTGGTTTCTTTAATCGGTTGTTTCATTTTCCAAAGGAGTTGCTGAGAATTAACACTAGAATTTTATAATTATATAATTTAGGCGTATAAACACTGTAACGTCTCTTTTAGGTCCCCTAGGAACAAGAGCTGGCAAGGCCAGGCGTTCGAGACCCAGGTGGGGTCCGTGAACAGCCTGCCGTGTTCGCCGACCCCCTGCCTCAAGATACGCGGGATGGTGGAGGACGGAGACCGCAACACGCACATAATAAGGGAAGCCGTCTTGAGCAAGTGCGCACACCACTGCCGTATTCTTCATTGCGCTGTCGACACCAGTTCCAACTGCGTTTACATCAAGTGCGCCGACCCCAAGGACGCCGCCGTCGCTTACAGGAACCTCCACGGGTGGTGGTAAGTGAAATCATAATATTTGTACGCCTTTTGAATCGTAAGGATTAGCCCAGAAGCTGAAGATTTGAAGAAAATTTGCATTATATTTGAAAATATGTATTTCTCCTTTCTTTTAGGTATGCAGGGCATTTGGTCACCGTTAAATATTTGCGTTTAGAGAGATACATGCAGAGATTCCCCGATTCGCCCGTAAGCGGTCCGCCGTTCTTGAAAGCTATAACGCCAGCGACCGACTGGTCTAGTTAAATTAATTTTGTACATTGTAGAACTGAGAACCTGATTCTTATTAATTTATGTATTTGTATTTGTATTTTTTTATAGTTGGGGGAGGTAAAATATCCTTTTAGTTATTACTCGTATTTATTATACTGTAACAGTTCAAAGGTAGTAGCAGGATTTCGATTAATGCACAGACGTATGTGCATATTCAAACTTATTTAGCCCCCCTCCATAGACGTTTTTACTGTTCATGTGACTTGCCTTATCCATATTCGTCGTTGGAAGTCGGATTTCTGATAAGGCTGACTGACTTTACTTGTTTTACGAGACGGAATAATTTGTATTTGTATTATATTTTAATTTAAACGTAGGTGTAATGTTAATTTAACAAAATAGTTAATGTAGGGATTAATACTAGGCGTGTGTGGTGTGGCGGATTCACGGTCTCTAGTTCAAATGTGATTGCGTTTTAGTCGAAATTTAAGCTAAAAAAAATAGAACGTCGGAAAATTGTAATGAATTAATAAATATCATAAAAGTCCTTTAAAATCCATAGGTTTCCGTTAAATTTAGTTACATTTGTAACACGAACGGACTTAAAAAGTGTTCATTATGCCATTTGCCACATACAAGCTGCATTCTTTCGTTCATGACCTTAAGATTACAACCTGAAATCGGAGCAGCTCGCTGGTTGAATTAAAAAATCTGCCTTAATTTTTCAAACTCGACCAATGCGCTGCTTCGATTTGACGTAATCCGAATGTCGCGAGCGAAAGGACTCGCCTAAAGTTATACGTTAATGTTGAGAAATTTTGTAAGGATGTTAATTTAATTTCTTAAGAGGTAAGTTTTTTGTAATATGTTGATGGAAATTTTTAATAACTGTTGTATTTTTAATAACATTAATAAATTGTATTTGTATAGATTGTATTTCTTCACCCAGAAACCTTTCAGGTATAAACGAAGACAAAATATTGTATTTGTAGCAACCAGTGTTGCAAGTGCAATAAAAACAATAACAAGTCAGTAAAGTGATGCTTTATTGAACGAGTCTGAGATTATGAGCCGAGCGAGGCGAGTAATAGGCGAGTTCGATAAAGACACTTTACTGACGTGCGTAGAAAATTGTATCGCCAACCCAAAAAAATTATAATTAAAAAAAACGAAGTTGTAACTTATCACTTATCAACTTATGGCAAAGTAAACAGAAAAGTAACAACAAATACAAAACAAATTTACTTTTGTTAAATAAGTATTAAACGTGAATGTGCACACTGACACATTATAAAATTTAATTCCTAAATTCAGAGTTTCTATTGAAAATGTTTGAGGATTATTATCTATGTCGATTCTAATGGTTTTACCCGTAATGTGCCTACGGGCGATTTCTTTAACGGCTATGGTTATACTTGCTAATTCCGTTTGTACCACATTTGTCCTTACTCGAGTACTTTTCTTCAAACCATCCTATTACTACAAGGGTGGCTTGGTGGCAAAGTCTCGTACAATTTTTATGTATGATAACATGGTCTTGAGTTACAGAGATTTATTGCTCTATTCAGACCCAGGCCTCTGGTAGGCTGCTACAGCCATATCCCCGAGCCTGCCTTAGGTCACCCATCCAAGTTCGAGCCTGCGTCCGTGATGCTTAACTCGGAAGATCTAAATTCACCGGCCAAGACACCCGGCTAGGCGGCCCCTGGATATGCAAGGATTTAGAAATATATTCATCCTGCACCTTCCTTTTTGATCTGCCTGTAAAGATGTTAATTACATCTTCGTGGTCGGTCTCCTCCTGTCTCTTAATGAATACGATGGAGGGTTTTTCGAACGCAAACCGGAGAGAAATACTGTCGGTGTCTGCCTGCAGAAGGGGCGTCTTCCTGACGACCCCGTTCCATAGGCAACTCCTAACTTCTCCGCATCGTACATCCAACGTTCTTGAGGCGAAGCATGTCTGTCAAGGCCATTTCTCTTAAGGCATATCCAGAGGTGGCAGACACAGCATTATTATAATTGGAATATCACCACGGTAGCGTAGTCAGTCGAGCACATGGTGGTAAGCATTTCTCGGCCAGATTTCCTATTCTGGTCCGGGTTCGATCCCCGGTATCGGCACTGGCAATATCAATGGATAATGGGTGTTTGTCTGCCCCCTTCCATACAGCCTTTGGCTTTAGATTTGGGGGATCTCTCATTTCTGCGGTGCGTTTTATGTTATGTTATCTTAAAAATATGATTTCTTCCTTTTTGTTTTGAAAAAGCCGTAAGTTTTTTATATTTACTGATGTCAACGTAATTTTTTGCTGGTAGGGTTGCTTTCACTATGGAATAATACGACCACATTGAAGAAGGAAAATAATACTCTTTCGATAACTCGAAAATATGCCAGTAAAACATTTTCACTATATTTTTTAATTTCGTGTTGCTTGCACCACTCCATAAATATGTCATACTAGCGATTGTATTTTTCGACTGATTTTTGTGCTGGAATTTCGAAACACGTTTCTAACGACTTTTCTAGGATTTCAAGCGGCGTGCACTGAATGTCTTCTTCCGTCATTTCCTATAAAAAATTCCCGACAAAACTTTTACTGTTGGGGCTGTGACAGCGACAAACGATTTGCGATTAATGTCATACAGTAATGACTGTTGATAAATATTTGCGCCAGGAAAAATGCTTGATTTTTACAGTAAAATAAAATGTTTGTTTACTTCCGGAAATCACTTTGGTAATGCAAGGCTCTGTTGACGGTTGGCAATAAAACAAAGGGTGACCGCAAAAAACCTGTGGTTTTCGCCCGTTTTTTCACAATTCGCAGAGAATTTAAAAAAAAATACATAAAAATGTTTTTGGTCGCAAATTACTTGTCGTAAAAAACTGAAATGAGCATAGCTTTTAGTATTTTAAAAATTTAAAAAATCACCCCGACTTAGGGGTGCCAAAAATGAAGTTTTTGAATATTACCAATTTATATAAAAACTATTAGTATGTGAATTATCTTAATATATATTTTTTTGAATTTTTACGATTATTTCTGATATTCTCTATTTTTGGGGACGATTCCACTCCCTGAGCGCGCTTAAGGGTGGATTTTCTAATTCAACATGCTTATTTCAGTCATGAGAATAAATCTTTCTTTGTATCAAGAATCATTCGATAGAAAAATTCACATGCTAATAGTTTTTATATTTATTGGTAATATTCAATTCATTTTGGGCGTCTTTTCAACCCCTAAATAGGGGTGATTTTTCAAAATACTAAATCTCATCTTAATTTTTTACAAGTAATTTGAGACCAAAAACATATTTTTATCTATTTTCTTTAGTTCTCTGCGAATTGTGAAAATTATTGTCTTTTTCTACCTGTTTAGTTTTCATTATTTCATAACTTTTTGTAATATTTAAGCTCGTTAATTCATAGAAAATTAGTTGCATTCAAAAATAAACCGCCTTTTTTTATTTTTTGCACGGTTTCTTGTAAATTTTTTGTGTGAGATAGACTCAATTTCGCTTCCGAGGGATATAATCGTCCTTTTCGCAATGCGTTTATGCTTGGAAAAAAATCTTTGAAAACTCTATTTTTTTTGTGTGTGCCGCTTTGTGGTCATATCCTTGGTCAACCTGTTCCACTTAGCTGGAGCTGCGGAGAATTCATTTATTGCATATTTAGTTCACTACCTTTAGAATGAGGAATTATGAAAACAGATATTTTACATATAAAATCTTTATCAATTAATTTCCCTACCAATGTGTATTTTCAGCGCCATCTATTGGTTTTGTGGAATGTTTCCTAAACAAATGACAATCATCCATTGTATCTGTTACAATCACATTGTTCATGGCCTACTAAGAGTTATGGTTTTATGAGTCGCTGCGATGAAAATTTTTATTTAAATTTGTGTGTACTTGCTTCTGATATAAAATGATTATACAAAGTGTAATATTACATGGGGATGAGGATAGTACAAACACCCCAGTGTGCGAAAGGGCAAAACTGCAATGGATAATAATTTTAAAGAAACTATTTTTTAATGCACTGTGTTTAGTTCGTGAATCTATCAATAACCTCCGACATTGACTAAGTTAAATTCACTACAAAATATACAGAATGTCAAGGGCACATATCTGACAAATTCACGAATTAAGAAAAAAAAAAACAGAATTAAGTAGAAAACCATTTCTACCGCCTAGAAATGCAGGAAGTATTGCAGCCCGTCACATTGTTTTTAATGTCTTTAAATGAAAATACCGGCTAAAGGATTGATGAGATTTATTTGTACAATTAAATGTAACAAGAACATGCAAATTAATAAAAATAAGTCAACTAGAAAAATAAGGTTTTTGGTTTCCATATATACAAATATAAAAGTGCATCAAAGAGAAAAATAAACATACTTGTTAACATCAATTTTTACAATTAAATTTTTAGATATAAAAAATATTACTTCACTATATAAAAATACTCTACGGTAGTACGAATTAAACGTTTAGAAATGTAAAAATTAATATAACCGAAAATATTGCACATTATTACACTGTTTGGTTCCGAAAAAAATCACGATTTAATCCACACGTTTTTCTAATATGGCAGTATTACGAAACTAAAAAAAATTTGTACCAGAATTTACAAACTTAACTACACAAAGCAAGCCTGTAAATATTATTTTTGGGACAGCCTGTATGGTGCATGATTAATACTTTTTTCTTAAAAACGATAACCACTCATACAAATGTAGACTTGAGTATGGAAAAGACAACCCGAAACGATTAATGAGCAAAATTACCAACGTTGTACGCCGCGACTGTCACATGGTCCAGCTTCCCAGGTAGGTTTTGAACGCGCTCTAACCCCTTTTTGCGCCTTATTTTCTTCTCTTGGGACGAAACCTCAACCAGAACGCCGTTTTTGTTATCGAAATACAAATCTTGATCCTCGAGAGTGTGGCGTTTCGCCGAAGTAATGCTAATCGTAAAGCTAATGAGATTCTCGCACAGTTTCCTGGCTGAGGTACAGGGACAGTCTTTACCTAAAAAAAAAATAAATATAATTTCAACGTTTCAACTTATTTTGACATCTTCAGGGAATACCTGAAATGCCATGTTTCAACACGTCCTCCATCAGTAGCAACTGCAGTTCGTATCTTTGTATTGGGGTAATGTAAGGAATTCCGTCCTCGTTCCTGAGGATTTGCTTGAGGTTGGAAGATCTGATGTCTAAAGAGGTCTTTGAACGAAGAAACTTATAACCTACTTCTTGCTTTTTGGAAGCGCTACTTGTATCGTCTACGGTCTGTAGGGTTTTGGAAACCGAACTCCTCTGTTTGACGGGCTTTTGACTAGATTGCGGAATTTCTTGTCGTTGCTGACTAGTGGCCTGCCGTCTCAGGCTGCTGGCCTTATTTTCTACCACCGTGGGTTTTTTAACACCTAAACGAACAATACGACATACAAATACGTAAACGAGAATTAAAATCACTGCGTTAACTTATTAATTAATTATATAAAAGTTTTACTCTCCGTTCAGCATTAAACTACACCCCCAATATCAGTGAGACGACATACTAATAATTTAACGACACAGCATAATACAAATCCATAAAGTTTTCAGAGGATAAAGAATTGTGACTTTGAGCAAGTCGACCATATTGAAAAGAAGTAGATTCTCAGTTCTATGGGTCTGAGTACAGTTGAATTTTCTTGGCATAGACAAAATAACTACTACTAATGCACCGGTGAGTAAATATACTTATAACAAATTCACGTACAACAGAAAACGCAATTAAACAAACACCGTCATGTTCTAAAGAAGTAGCTTTGGGTGCAATATAACCTACAAAGTATATGTCATATCCTATAAATATTATTGCTATACAACGCCTACTGGAATAAATCATTACTTTACACCTATTAGCAGAATGACCTACTAATCTGTAGGCATAATCTTTCCTATCTCAATTGAAGATCAAAGAGCTAGGCAGTATGTGCCAGGTTCGGTTGCTACACAGCAACTCGGAATTGAAATATTTGAATAATTTGTTCCCATATTTATTTAGCCATACCCATATACAGGTCTGGTCGAACTAAACGTGGAGGTGGTAGAAATGTATACACCCAATTGAAGAATGCGCGCGAGGGAAAACGGTGCACAAACACAGCCGCACTGGGCGACAGGGGTCATGAATTTCAGTTGTTGACAAATTGCCTAGCAGTGCAGTGCAGCAATGTGGAATTTGGTGTGATTCAGGTAATTTTAATTTATTATAGGCAGAACCGGTTGATGAAACAGATTTGGAATATAAAAATAAAGATTTACATGTTCAATGTCAACGTCTCATTTTAAATAATTACGATTCTTTAAAAAAAGGAAGAAAATGAAAAATCAGACAATGAAATTATAAATAGAATTCACATATTACGAAAGTTTCAGTGTCTACAATTTTTCGTGTTATTAAACAAGGTGTTATAGATCATTGCGTAAAGAGGTAGCGACAACAAAAATGTAAAAATATCGATGACATGACGAGAGACGTAATTCGGCGGAAAATTTATAAATTATGTAAAGAAATAATATATTATAGGCCAAATGGACATATAATAGAAATTTTCTACACATTATATACAAATTATTATTTTTTACCTTCAGCAGAAAAATTTTTTAGGGACACCTATGAAACTCATTAAATTTTATTGCTAGGCGTTTTTATACATGTTCAACTGACTGGAAAGACTATACCATCAAAGCATTATACTCTGTAGGTTATCCGACCAACGTTAACTTACTTTTGCCTACTTTTGGAGTATCTTCTACTGAATTTGCCCTAATAAATTGCTGCACCAGTGGATTTGCATAATCGACCTCTGGCTTATTACCAGTGGCTTCGTGTACTTCACTTGTACTAGTCTCTTCAGGTTCTTGTAAAGCTTTTTCGTCAGAGCTGCCTTGTTCAATATTCGATATGCTGCCTTCTACTAACTTATCTGTATTAATTAATTCGGACGACACATTATCGCTTTGAGATTTATTATCGACATTCTGTACCTCCGTCACAGATTCTATCGACTGAGACGAAGACTTTTCCGACATAGTATTGCTTTTCACGCTACTTTCCGCGGAACTTCTACTAGAATCGTCCCTATTCTTAGACCTCCTAGGTGGCTTGATTGGCGGTTTTTGAGGATTTTCTACGATTTTAACGGGTTTCGTAGCATGCGGTTTATGCTCATCCGCCGTATGAGACGGAGTGCTCTTCGCTGGTCGACTAGTACTAGTCCTTTTAGGTTTTGAAGGTTCCACGTTACAGTTTACCGTGAACCTGCAAACGTTGGGATCGAAATTGTCCGTCAGTCCGTCACTAGCCACCATTACGATATCGCCTTTACGTAGGGTGGTTATCGAGAGGGTGAGATTACTCAGTTCCGGGTTAATTCCGTCTACGGGACCTAGCGCTCCCAAAGCGTCCCGCATGTCCCGATTGCAGTTTATGTCGTGAGATCCTGCAATTATTTTTGTCTGAAGTAGTCATATATTATTCCAGTAATAGGATCTGGCTTAATCGGAGTTTCTTGGGATCAGTTTGGTTTCTTTTCAATCTGCAATCTGTCATTTTTGCTATATTTCAAAAAGTATTTTCCCAATCGAATGGCGTGTTATTTTAAAGTCACCACATTTTTGATGATAATTGTCATGAGCGCAATTCTAACCTCAACAATCTCCGATTAAGCTGTTTCTCACCCTGAAAACTAACCTACCTTTAGTGAGTTCCCTAACTCCATACTGCTGGGAATACACGTACGCCAAAGTATCCCCAACATTACAAACGCAGCATACATACTGCGTTTCCGACTCCCTCCTTTCCCCGCTACCAGTCTGACTGAGAACCCTCCGTTCCAGTTTTTGTTTTAAAGGTAAGACGACCGCTACAGTCAACGTGGTGAGCATTCCCTTGTTCTCCAAGATGAGATCGTGCGCGCAATTGAACGCCCTCAGCAAGCAAATAAAAACTTCCCTGGTGTTGCTTATCAGGTTAACGTTTTCGTCTACTATACTACTCGAGAGCGAACTTTCGTCAGTCTTAATAGTAAGGTTTTCGAATGGTTTTGTATCGTTGAATATCGTTTTGTTGAGGTAGTGGAGACTGCCGTGGACGGCGGACTTAGCCGCTATGCTCGCTTTCTCACCTGGAAAATGATCGGTATATATACAGAGTGTTACAAGGTAGTAGGTTAATCTGTAAGTCACAAATTTTTAAATCTAACACATTTTGAAACTAAGCGAATCCAAAAATGGCATAAGAATAGCCCTTTTCTCAAAGAGTAGGGTTAGTAGTTTGACCTACTTTATTGTAACAACCTTACGACTAAAAGTTACATTTCTAATGTGTCTTACCCCAATTTACTCCGTCTGCCACTGCCAATATAGCAGAATCCCTTCTAGCGATAATACCAAAGCAGTCTGCTATTGGATCCCCGTTTTTATTCCTAGTTACTTGGTTTCGATCGTAGAGAGAGTCAGATAAACCATAAATAAGTTCTGATTTTTTATTCCATTCGGTTGGAAGGGACGAATCCTCTACTTCTCTTAACGGAATGTTAGAATTTTCAACGACCTCCTCACCTACAAATATTTATTTGATGAGGACTTCGAATTTCCACAGAGAATTTTAACTATTTGCGTTTAATATACTATTAATGTTTACTAGTGAATCCAAAATCTATTTTAAAATTTAGAAATGGCAAAAAACTATGCCTTTAATGGTTCACTGAATAACAGTAAAATTTATGAAAATTAATTCTGTATCAATACACATTTTTAGTAACACGAACCCTTACAAATTAATTTTTGGACGGCACATTATACAGAATGTTTATTAAGTACTTGTACAAACTTTAAAGGGTGAATCTTTGACTAATTTTAAGACAAAAGGTTCATATGAACCTAAAAAAATTTTTTGTTTCAGCAATTATTGTAAATGTTATTAACTTATTTGTAGAAGTAGTTTAGTCTTCGTCTTATGATCTAAGTTTGTCACATCACAATACAATCAATAAAAGACACATTTTTTGACTTGTTTTTCAGAAACTCTTAATGATTCAACTAACAAAATTCCAACGCAGGTTTAACTTTCACCCGTTTTTTTAAAAAACAGCTGCTTTCAGCGACAAATACTAAGAGTAGTCAAAAATGATGTAGAGTGCGACACGAAAAAGTTATGGTTATTTAAATCCAGGTACAATACCGTATGTGGCGTCCTCTAACAATAAACAAAAAACTAAGTAAATATTTGAGTTTCTCATCAATACTGCCAGTTTCCCAAATTTTATTAAATTGCCATGTTATTGAACAAAAATATAATCAAAATACGAAACTAAATTTTTTTTTAACACTGTATCTCAAGAACCAAGCCATTGTCCATATGAACTTTTTATTTTAAAATTAGTCAAAAATTCACCCTTTAAAGTTTGTACTTAATAAACACCCTGTATATTATAAATTTGATGCAATTTTTAAAAAAGTTCTCCAAATTCACATAACTATACAATTAATGATTGTTTTTTTTATGGTAATCTTCCCCACAGGTCGGTACCTTATCAAGATTGCGAGATAACGGGAAAATGACCTGTATAAAAGTGGTTTGGATCATCGTTGACAATCACTTGATGACCTTGAAGGTCATTTTGATAAAAATCAGTAGAATCGGCTTTAAGACATTGAGATGATAGTTTTCATATCAATTTTTCATAGATTTCCCTTGCTCATCTTATAGACCAGGCCGGATTTGTCGAAATATGCCACTTCTTGGATGTAAGAGGGGCCAAGCTAATTTTTACTGAAATACCTTCAGTACAACTCACATAATAAAAGTGTAGATCTCTAGATCTGGACGAGGTCTGGAACATTACCAAAATTGTAAAAATGTTTAAAAAATTTTAAAAATATCTATTTCATCTGAGTTTTTTACTTATAACTTGGAACGTATGCATTTTGGAAGAATATTGAAGAGGTAAAAAAGTTTTAGAATTGAATTTTGCACAATATACTGCAAGTTAAAAATGTTTAAATTTATTACCGATGTTGCAAAATTGCAATAATTGATGAAAAAAAGGCAAAATAAGTTTTTTTGGATAATTTTTTAAAAATATTTTAATTGCTCCGACGGCATTCTAATTTTGGTAAAAAAAACTTTAGAGTATAATAAAACAATACACTAAATAAAATATTTTAAAAAAATTATCCAAAAAACTTGATTATTTTGAATTTTTTCATCAATTATTATTTTGCAACATCGGTAATAAATTTTAAAATTTTTAACTTACAGTATATTGTTCTATATTGTGTATATTGTTCTAAAATTTTTTTTCTGTCCAATATTCTTCCAAAATGCGTATGTTTCAAAATATAAGTAAAAAACTCAGATAAAATAGGTATTTTTTAAAATTTTTTAAACATTTTTGTAATTTTGAAAATGTTCCGGACTTCGCTCAGTTCTAGGGATCTACACTTTTATTATGTATTGTACTGAAGGTAATCCAGAGAAAAAATTTGCTTGCCTCCTCTCACATCCACCTCAAAACAGATCCGCCATGGTCTATTATTGTATTATTTCATTCACTTTTTAAAGGTTGCTAAACCGTACGTCATAGCTTTGTGTTTTGTACAATATTGTTGTGGAATGACGCAAACACCGACAGACACGAATTATAAAAATAGTTGACAACAAATTAATAAAAATATTACTGCGAAGGGTTTACAGATAAGAACAAATTTAATTATCATCACTCGTCTCAACATTAAACTGATAGGGCTCGTAGTGCTAGAAAATACTTTTCCAAAGTTTCCGAGTCACTTATTTTTGATAGCTTAATTCGATCGTGAAACCAATTTAACATTATTAAGCTTACTCAAGCGATGACTCACATTCGTTGTCTAATTTTGATTAATAAGCTTTAAGCACTTTAAAATAGAACATAAAATAAATAAATATAATGTATATTAACAATCACATACACCAAAACGACAGTATATATAACAGTTGTTGTATTACAGACAAATACAACATAATAAAACATACGTAGCTGTCATAGATATTTTTATTATGCCTCGAAGTTGTTATCGTAATTTTCTCAATTAGTCTCAGTTGTTAATATGTATTGTTATAAAAATTGGTTGTTTTTCATTTCGGCTCAATGTTAGGTTTTAATCCAATAAAACCACCAGATCACTAAAGAAATAAGCATTAAAAGAAACCATTTGTATTTCCCAATACCATATTATTTAATAGAAAAAAATATGTTAGTGATATATTAACCGAAATTACGTCTAATCTTTTAGGGTCTCATACCAAACGATTTTAGAATTTACACATTTCCAGTCAAAATGCAACTTCGGGTAACGTGAAAACTTAGTGGTCAATCTAATTTTTATTAATTTTTTTCTTCATAGAAACGAAATTTGACCCCCTACTAATCCTCAACTTGAACCAATATAGTCGCAAAAAGCGTTCTTCTTTTTTAGGTAAAAGCAAGTGAAACAAATTATGTGCGTTTTGACTTTAAACTCGAGATTTATAAATTTCTTTGCTCATTCGTACTCAACTTGAATTAATAATTGTGGTGCTAAATAAAAGCGACATAGGAAGACGGCAAATACCTATGAAACCATGAAGAGATAATACAGAATTAATTTAAACGGGAATTGAAAATTGTGTTTCAATAGTATATTAAGACTAACGAAAAGCACACAAGCACAGTACATGCACATGCATATAATCAGAAATATATGAAAGTTATGTTATTATGCAGTTAGAGAAATAAAAAACACATGCATTTACTCTAAAAACTTCAACTATGCGATATAAACATTTCAGTAAGGGCAAAATAACATCACACGGCACACCATGCTTTTTTTTACCCCTTATATTTGGCCGTTCAATTTTAATGATCCTTCCCCTTTTCTTATGATGAAAGGGATTCCCCTCGCTCTTAGATTTTGACAGGCCATAATGACTTTGGACAGTAGCGTTTTTAGTTGTGTCGCTTGTTCTCTGGGTCTTGTTCGTTTTCTTTACAGACGAGATTCTTTCAGATTTTTCACGATCGGTAGCTTGATCAATGTTGTTTTTGAGACTTTGGTTAATTTTGGTATCGGTTTTGTTAATTTTAACACTAATATCACTATCACCTGCATTTCCGTTGGCATTTACTTCACTACTTTCGTTCTTTGGTCGAAGAGATTCCTTCTGTTCACAAACACTCAAAGTGTTGCAAGTATCTGCGTTTAAAATTTGACTATTTTTGCATTCTACTGTTTCACAGTTATTGTTGCTGCCGTAGAAGCTTTTGTCTATCTTTGTCTTTTCGATTTCAATATCGAAATCTGAAATGCTGCCCAAGCTGTGGCTCTTGCTGTGCCTTTTGGGTTTGTTTGTCACACAATACTCGTGCCCAGCCACTTTTATTACCATCGTCGTATTATCTATGGGCTGTCCTGGTAATAACTTGTGTGGTGATTTTTTTGGTAATGCCGACGATACTAAAATAAATCCAGAGTATTCATCACGGAGTCAAACTATTATTGACGTTTAAAGGCAGCTTTTCTAATTGCCAAACTATATATAAATATATGCCCCTCAACATCAATGTCGTTCCCAAAAAATTTTGCAAATACAGGGTTAAGTACATATATGATTAATTAAGAAGATTTAATAGTTCGAATATCACCCCACCCTCCCAACCACCGAGTACTATATTTTCAAAGAACACACTATTCCTCTGATGTACCCTGTACACTATTACCTATAATAACGATAATTATTCATATTCTGACAGATTACACTATATAAGTTGTCTGTAATGTAAAAAAATACACTAAATAAAAAATATGTGAATAATTTTACTTTACCAGGTTCCTCATCATGTGTGTCAATAAAGTCGATATCCGCATCTGGCAGGCATAAATGCTTTTCTATTCTTTTGACTGTAGTCAATCCGCCATTTGGTCCTGAATAGCAGCCGATTATCGTATTTGGACCATTTTCATAGTGACCGAGGTCATAGTTTGGTAAATCTGTCGGATTTTTCCCGTAAATAATAGGTGGGCCTTCGCATAGTGTGATAATTCTATAATTCAAATTCCACTTGAAGATATAGTTTTACTTAAAATATAACTTACCCTTGCAAATATTTTGTGACAAAAGTATTTTCATTGATATTATGCTTTTTATCTCTAGATTCATTGTGAAAACTCAGTTGTCTGAAGTAACTAGAAACCCTTTTTCGTAAAGATGGCATTTCTAAAAAAGGTTAAACGTGGAGTAAGCAACTTATAAATAAACATTGCATATTAATTTATATTTATATTTTGACAATTAATTTAACCTCACTTACCTGCCCAATTGATTAATTTAGTTAAATGTCCCTACAGTAACTTTGTGCCTAAAGGGAAGCATTTATTTCAACAATAGAGAACTGATTATTAAATAAAACATCTAGTTTCTGTTTTAATTAACTCTTTTTATTGGGCACACCCTATTTTTCATATACCACACAGATTTAATATAAAAAATATAACGGCAAACGGCACAATGACAGGACTACCACTGAGCATTGACACCTTAGATTAAAGAAGCATAATCCATAGAAGACAGAACAGTTTTCTGTGGCATAATTGACATTAACAGAGACAAAGAGCAGGAATGGCAATTGGCAAATTAAATATTCCCTAAATCCCTACCGGTACTAGAGTGAGGAAATTATTTGTTGTCTATCTTGTGTTTTGTGTTGTGGTCTTCTATTAAAGTTGAAAGTGAGGTTAAAATCGGAAATGTCTTTTAAACAGGATTTAAAACAACTTTTAAAACCTTACTATATATTTAATATACTCTTGAGTCTCTCCTATGTTTTTCTAAAGCGAATGCCAGGACTATGCAATTATATCTTTGCTTCAGACACCTGCGAATTTGAGGGGGTAAGTACAAAAAAAATAGTTGTAAATTGAATAATAGGTATGTAATTGTTTAATTTTCAGCGCGAAACTGAGATATTATTCTTCCTCATTATAGTCATAGCAATGCGAACTAGGAAAACAGGAAGCGTTTCAATGATAAATTACTTGTCTTCTAGTTTTATTTACACAAAAATTGCTAACCTAATATTGTGGTTTAGTGCGGATTTTTTGATGGGAATAATTTATGGAATAATATTTATATGTAAGTATGTTACATCTGTGTGATTTGTATTGATTCTGACTAAATTCCCTTTGCAGTGGGTGCCCTCATCTTCCCCGAACCAACATATTCCGGTCCTAGCAATGTAATATATTTCCGAGACCTGCAAGGTCTAGAAGAAGAATTATCTAGGAATAAAAAAACTACATGGCTAGTAGCGTTTTATACAGTGTGGAATCCGGCTTGTGTCACATTCGCTCCAGTCTTTGCAAAATTAAGTACAGAGTTTCACCTAGAGAACCTCAGGTTCGGTAAAATAGACATCGGGCGTTATCCCGAAGCTGCAAAGAAGTACCACGTAAACGACGGCAGCCTGAGCAAGCAGCTACCCACATTAATACTATTCGAAGATGGAAAAGAGGTTCTTAGAAGACCTACGACGGACACAAAGGGGAAATTGATAAGTTTTCTATTTTCTGATGATAACATTAAGAAAGCATTCGGTCTTAACGGAGTGTACGAAAACTGCAGGAACGAGCTGAAACGAAGTAATAAGTTGCACCATAAAAGCGATTAGTTTTTATTAATACATTTTAACGTATTCGACGTTGTTTGAAATTATTTATTGCTAGTTTTGTTTGAAATGTATGAGTGCATTGTACAGTCTGCAAAAAATTACAAAAGCTTGATGTGAGTTTAAAATTTAAAGAGTAAATAGAGATAACAAAGTGTAATCTGTTTATTTGGCTTGAAAGTAATAATTGTAAATTATTTTGCTACGAAGAATACTCAGAATGTTTATTCATTCCACCGATTGCGTAATTTTTATTGCATTGTATTAGGCGTAATCTCAACAAATGGTGGCTCTATAGTCTTAAAAAATATAACAAAATATAGAAATGTCCGTTTGTAGTGTTTTAAAAAATATTATATTCGTGTCAACGTTTGTTTTTAATTGTCCACAATTTTTCTACATATTGCCAATCGTAAGGCAATTATAATAATCAGTTTTCATAGTTTTATATGAAATTTTAGTTACTGTACTGCCTCCTAACTATAGCTGTATTGTTTGTTTATATCAGTTAATAAAAAATTTGTTGCTAAACAATTTCTTTATATTTCTGATGTACAGGGTGACCCTTAAGTAATGGTACATGGGGCACCAGCAAGTACAAGGTGTTAAATTGAAAAATTTTGGGAATCAGAGGTTTCTTGAGGTGACAAATTCAAATTTGATCATAATTTGCTGTTACTTATTGGAGGGCGCCACTTGTGGTATATTGCATGACTTTAAAATTGTTACGAGACTAATACTTAGACGGTGACATCTGGTGGTCGACATTAAAAGCTTAGCGAGATAAGTTTTGGGTGGATAGGAGACTGACGGCTGGCTTGGTTGGATAGGCGTTACCTAAACATACAGGGTGGGCCATTAGTGTGAGAAAATAAAATAACTCGCTTGTTACTCATAATACAGAAAAAAGTTTATATAAAAGTTGTACTGAATCAAAAATCCTGAAGGACAAAATTAATTTGAAACACACAGGGCGATGAGTAAAAACGGGACGTGATAAATATTACATTTTTTAAATGGAACACCCTGTATATTTTTGTACATATGGATTTCTAAGAGAATTCTATATATGGGAATATAAACAGTTTAACATTTTTGGGGTTGCTAAGTTATGTAGAAAATTCTTCAAATTTTGAAAAAACAAGACCTCAAAAAAGTATTAACTTTCAACTACTAACACTTGGAGCAAAAATATTTGACAGAGTTATAAGCAAAGACTCCTGTATTAGCTAATATCGATATTTTATACAAGGCATTTTTTATAATACGATCATTTTTAGAAAGTTTAAACTTGATTTTCTTAAATTTTTCAAATGGGACACCCTGTATTTTATTCACTTATCGGTCCACTTCAAGTTTTATTAAGCATGTTCTATATCTAAAATTGTTAGTTTATAGAATACCACAAATAAATATTAACTAATAAAAATTAACTCAAAATGGAATGATAAACTATGAACTGACAAATTGACACAATGTGACAGTTTTTTTCAAAGCCATTTCCTGCGACCAAAAATAATAAAAATTAGGTTTTTCCAGAAATGTTGCGATGTCTTAAAAACTAACAACTTTAGGTGTAGAACATATTTAATAAAAGTTGAAGTGATATTATGTGAATAAAATAGAACAATAAAATACAGGGTGTTCCATTTGAAAAATTTTAGAAAATCAAGTTTGAACTTTCTTAAAATGATGGTATTATAAAAAATGCCCTGTATAAAATATCGATATTAGCTATTATAGGAGTCTTTGCCTATAACTCTGTCATATTTTTGCTCCAAGTGTTAGTAGTTGAAAGTTAATACAACTTCTTCGAGGTCATGTTTTTTCCAAAATCCGAAGAATTTTCTACATAACTTGGCAACCCCGCACTAAAATGATAAACTGTTTATATTGCCATATATAGAATTTTCTCAAAAATCCATACGTTTAAAAATATACAGGGTGTTCCATTTAAAAAATGTAATATATTGCGTGTCCCATTTTTACACATCACCCTGTGTGCTTAAAATTAATTTTGTCCTTTAGGTTTTTTGATTCTGTACAACTTTTATATAAATATTTTTCTGTATTATGAATAACAAGGGAGTTACTTTACTTTCTCACACTAATGGCTCACCCTGTATATGGTCAGCGTTTTTTTATTTACACAAGTGACCTAACACTTCAGTTCTTGTTTTGTCAGACACAGGCTTTTCAAATGTTTTTCTTGCTTATAAAATGTTTGTTTCAAATAATTTTCGCATATTAATTAAGAGGCAGTCCTCGTACTTATGGTATGTTCAGTTCTCAAAATAAATGATGTAAATCCATACGATATAAGTCGATACATTCTTTTCATCCGTTTCTATATAAAGTGAAGCAGTTAGGTTCTATCTGAACATATAATTTAAAAAAACTACATATTAATATTAAATAATAATACTTTATAAAACAAACCATGTATTTGGTACATACTTATTGCACAATTGAAAAAATAGAAAGAACCATAATAAACACTAAATCACTGGTCTAAAAAACGTATCAGTTCGAGTTTGTTTCGCTTCATTTTTCTTGTTTTCATACATTTCTCGATAACGCTGACAGGAAGTAGTAATTATATTATTAAAATTTAAAACTTCTTTCAAAATTTGGATCGTGTTCTTTAAAAACATTCATGGTATTCTGTAAACGTCCAAAGGCTTGCAACACCGATGACCGTACAAGTGAAATAGCCCAAGACGTATTTCGAAGCTATTTACGTTGGATTGAAGACTAGTGTTAAAATATTGTTGGCACAACTTGAAACGACGTAATTCGAGGACTGCTTGTAATTACTTCATTAATTATCACCAAAACATTTCTCATATAAATCAAATGAATTCGATGAGAAACTTTTATTCATTAACAAAAAATATATTCTGTACAATTTTATCACTTTGGACCTATTTGTTTATAAATGTAAAAAATTACATTACAAATAACCATTTATGATATTTATTCGGAATCGGAGTTTGGAGCTAACACCTCACCGAAAGAGGTTTCCGTGAACGTAGGTTCGAAACATCGTCCAAAAACTAACTTCGCCTTTTTCGTCCTTGGCGATTCGGGAGAAGGTGGAAGAACATCCATATCCTCACCGTCAACATCCATAGGCACCGGATCTGAAGGTAAGTTAAATTTTTTACACTTACCCTTTCCTTTTCTGTTTTTGTCTTTTTTTATATTCATATCAAGTTTAGCTCTTTTGGGGTTGTTTTCTTCCGTGTCCATTTCCCAATCGTCCCACTCTTCGTTCAGAGCTTGTCGATCTTCCAAAGACAGATTGATGTTTTCATGGGCGAGTTGGGTAATTTTCGTGGGTATTGACGAAGTAGCCATAGAACTTTGGAGGTCACTGTAAGGATTCAAAGTAGCCACTATGAAGTTTACTTCAAATGTCGGATTTTTCATTATTAACGTCAGTGGCCTAGAAAGTAAACGGACGATAACGATAACATCAAATACATCAAAACTAAGCTTACTTGCCGCCAACTTCAAAATTGATGCCGATATTCAAGTTGAATCCTTCAGCAAACTGTATGGCAGTACGTAGCGGCCTCAAACAGAAATTTATTGCTGTTTCTTTATTAATTTCGAACTTTGAGAATTCGGATCGGTTTAGATTTACCTGACTTCTTACGGAATTAGCTGTCACAGTGGCACCTACAAAAAGATTATTCATATCAAATAATGAGAGTCAAAGCATTTAGAAATCTTACCTACAATGTAATTCCTCACCACCACTTTTTCTTTGGAAATCTCAAAAGTGATTTCATCGTCTGTATTGCTGAACATTGTTAATAATTGGTTGAAAAAGGAGCTAGATCCTAATATATTGTTGGAACCAGCATCCGGTTTAAATTCTATGGATAACGATTCGGTCTCCATTAACCTTAACCTGTGCGTCATTAAGATATCATCACACTTAAATTTCATTTTGAAAATGATCACATCACTGTCGCTTTCATATTCCAACTTAATGAATTCCAACTAAGGAAAAATTAGTAGAAGCAATGTTACATAGCAATCAGTTTTAAATAGTACTTACCTTTTTTTCTAGATGAGCTCCTTTAAATAATGGTAGAAGAATTTTCATATGAATTTTACAAGTTATAGCGCTACATTGTTCATTAAGTTCGTTCTTGTTTACTTCGTAATTGGAGAAAAAGCTGTCTAATAAATGGTAACGAACACATATTGTTTTTCTTAGATTTAACGTTATTAATGTTAATCTGTCTTCGTGTGCTTCTAGGTAGAGATCATCCCCTACTTTAGCTAGGGCGTGAATAGCTTTTGATAGGACTGAAAGAAAATAAAAACTGTGAGATCAGAAACTAATTTAAATAGATAGATACTCACCTTTTATATTTAAACCAGGTAGAATACAATTCATTGCGACATAGATCTTGCACACAACAAATGTTTTACCTTACATTATACAAAAATAAGTTAACTGCATAATATTAACTTAAAAAACATTTATTATTTATTATTTAATGCATTTGACATTTAAACTGAATTTGAAAATAAAATAACCCTCAAAACATGACAATGTTGACCAACTTTCAATTCCGTAACTAAAAATATTCCTGCAAATTTTGGATGTTAACCAATGATGACATTCGTTTCAAGGGCTTCGTTACCCTAGAGTAACTCAGAGCTGTTCCATAGCATGGCCTTTTGATCCAGGGCTCGACGCCCTGGGATGTCTTCCCCTTTTCCATCGAGGACTATCATTTTAGCTGGAGTTTGGAACTCTAAAATATATTTAAGGTTAAGTAAATAAACACTCAATTATGCCATAACAAACCTCATAGACCTAACCTATATATGCTCTTTTCAAGAGCTCAGTAGGGTCGTCTCCGGGTTTAACGCCCTAGGGACTGGGGCTTGACGATCGTTAAAAGAATGCAGTGAATGTTGAAATCGGCAACCCTGTGTAGGTCTAGCATAGATAAAAGAGTTAGGTCTAGGTAGATACCTGTTTTCCTTAGGGGGTGTTTATCTTTTGCAGAATTAAGTAAATTTTCAGAATTGAATTAGAATATTGTACCTCTGCTTTGTAGGAATTTACAAATATGGTAAAGTATATTGTTCAATTTTTTGTATCATATTTTCTATTAAAAATTCATTTATAACCTTAAAATTTTTAGCTCGTTCTAGTTTTGGGAGATTTACATATCCCACACAGATGTAGCAGCCTACCAGCCAAGTTCAAAAAATTACTCGTACCGGGAAGAATACAACACATACTTTGTACAGGAAATTTATGTACCAAAGAATCGTACGATTATTTAAAGACTCTGGCCAGTGATGTCCACGTCGTTAGGGGAGATTTTGATGATGTATGTATTAAAGATTTACATTAATGTTCAAAATGTAAGTTACTAATTCCTATTTTGTAGAATTTAAATTATCCGGAACAAAAAGTTGTAACGGTAGGACAGTTTCGAATAGGCCTTTCGCACGGACATCAAGTTGTGCCTTGGGGCGACCCAGATTCTTTAGCGTTAATTCAAAGACAGCTAGACGTGGATATACTTATTTCTGGTCACACTCATAAGTTTGAGGCTTATGAACACGAAAATAAGTTTTATATTAATCCGGGGTCGGCCACAGGAGCTTATAATGCATTAGACACGTGAGTATTGAATTTGAAATAATAAACCGCACCTGTTGATTTTAAGATCCTATAAAGAAATTGACCCTCTTATAAATGTCCTGTAAATGTCCACGCTCCTTTTCTGGTAATGCTTCTGCCATAACTTCTGCAGATTAAACAATTTAAGTGGTGGCATTTCTTTGATTTTAGATCAATAACACCCTCATTTGTACTCATGGACATACAAAACACTACTGTAGTGACATATGTCTACCAGCTAGTGGGAGACGAGGTAAAGGTAGAACGAATTGAATATAAGAAAAATTAGAGATGAAATGAAAGGCATACATTTGCGTATATGTTGGCATTTAAGATTAAGACACCTATTATTTTCAATTAAGTCTTATATTAAAAAGGGAAATATAAAACTTGAACTTTCGAACGCTTAAGGTACACTTATGGATTTTAATAAACTGTATTGTGAATATTCATATTATGTAATATTAGTTATAGGTATATAATTCTGCCACTTACTGTTTATTCTATTAGCGTAAAAAATCCACAAGCTTTCATATTTAATAGCTGATTAATAGTACAGTCTGTACTATATTTGTTGAGATAGAATTGCAGTGCATACTGTCTTTCTTCGTAAGTTTTCTTAGAATTGTATCCCAACAAATATCGTACGACTGTTATTTGTAGCATAATTGAGTGACGAAATAATCGAATTTTATTTAAGAAATAATATTTTGTGAAACTTTCGAAGATGTTTTTATGCAAACATCTTTTAGTATGATTTTATATTATAAAGGAAAGAAATGGATACTTTTTTTTAATTAATTTATGAGAGCAAAAAATTGCATTAGGACATCAAACACATCAATTTTTGCATTGTAAATTAAATTCTTTCTAATAGAAGGTTATTAAAATAACAAAAAAGGAAAAAAGACCATGAAAATTTCTGTACATTTAAGATTATCTCATTAATTTCTCTGGTTTAGCATAACTCTTAATGTAATCATGAATATAGTTCAGGAAATGTTATTTCTGTTATAATTTTTTGTAGTGCATATTTATAATATAATTTTTATAAGTATATTTTTTATATAAAATTTATCTGGTTCTATTTATAAAATAAATATATCTGAATAGGGATATATTGTGTATTTTTTTATTTTTTTATTATAAACAACGGCTTATGAAAAATGGAGTACTACTTGCCTCTTCGAAATTTAAAAATATTCTTTTACATAAATATTTGACCTTGACGGTCTCGGTTTTGAGATACAGGGTGTTATAATTAAAAAAAACATCCAATGGGTTATATTTATTATGGTGTTAATACAGCTTTAAAACTTAAAGAAACAAAACTGACTCTTAAAAATTAAAAACTCATTTAAATTCTGAAGTAGTACTTTATGAAAATAGTCCTAAATATCTTCTGAACGAATGAAGTCACTGAAAATAAATTTTGTTTGCACAGTTCATGAATATAATCGAATTCAATGTGACAAAGATTCAAAAATTAGAGCAAAACACTGTAAAAAGATGTCAATTGAATTAATTGAATTATCGGGTGATCCAAAATTCACGCAAGATTTAAAAAAGACAGCGTAACGGCTGATTGTTCAAGGCTATTAAAAATGAAGCCCTTGGGGTTAAGAAAATCTACGAGTGATTGTTGAGAAACAAATGCATCCATAACGTATCACTATTTGCTGCAGATTTTGGACTGGAGGCATCATCGAACCATTCTTCTTCGAAAATGTGGGTGGTCAGGCAATAACAGTTAATGGTGCTCGCTGTCGCGACATAATACTCCAGTTTTTTTGTGCTTAAATTGCAAGATATGAATGTAGACGACATGTGGTTTCAACAAGATAGTATCACATGCCATACAGTCGAACCAAGAAATAAAGGTGAAAAATCATCGAGAAATCGTGAAAATCACTGGATGTGATTTTATTGTTAGAAAGTCTTGGGAATAATAATACAAGAGGCGTCTCATCTCGTGGGTCATGAAAAAAGTATAGCGTCATTGTTTTTTATCAACAAATAGGTATAAAATTCGTCATTTTTTGTTCTACGCGTTATTGTAAAAAAACTATTAATCTTGGCAAAAAATGTAGACGATTTGATCTAGAGAAACTCATCTTTAAAATGATACTTTATATGTTAAAATTGCTTTATAAACAAAAAATTTATTGCAAAATGAAACGGAAAAAGTGCTTTTTCTTTAATTGTTAATAACATTTTAAATAATTAATAAAATCTTACCAAACTTTCCCAAAATGTGAGTTTTCATATCCTTAAGAGATATGCTAAAGATGGGCTCGATCGGTCAAATAGTTTTTACAAAATTCTATTTATTTATCCCATTTTTGCAAAAAAGGCCCATTTTCAAATGATTATTTCGGGGGCAGGGTTGTGACTAAAACATTCTTTTTGGGCTTATTTTCTTCGAAGGGACACCAAGTATCCTCTAGTTAAAAAAAATTAAAAATTTTTTCAAATTTAGTTGTATATAATTGTTAACAAATAAAAGGCACTTTTTTCCCTAATAATAATAAAATAACTCCGTGGTTTTTAACTTTTGAAAGAAGTTATATACACCATTCGAAAGCCCATAAAAAAACCTACAGATTGAAAAAAAAAGTTTCTACGACCAATAGGTCCGGAGTTAGCAAGTTTTTTACAACTAAATTTGAAAAAAAAATTATTTTATTTTTAACTAGAGGATACTTGGTGTTCCTTCGAAGAAAATGATCCCAAACAGAATGTTTTAGTCATAACCCTGCCCCCGGAATAGTCATTTGAAAATGGGCAATAAATTTTTTGTTTATAAAGCATTTTAACTTATAACGTCTCATTTTAAAGATGAGTTTCTCGACATCGAATCATCTGTTGAAAATTTTTTGCTAAGATTAATAGTTTTTATACAGTTACGCGTATAACAAAAATTGACGAATTTTTTACCTATTTGTTGATAAAAAAAAATGACACTATACTTTTCTCATGACCCACGAAATGAGACACCTCTTGTGTTATTATTCCCAATATTTTCCAACAATAAAATCACGCCCAGTAATTAATAAATTTCAAAATGTTTCCTTTCCTGGTCCGTGCAATTTCCCATATTGGTGTTCAAAATTGGCTGCCCTAATCATGTGATTTAACCCCGTTGGACTTTTTGCTTTGGGGTTTTTTGAAGTCTAAGATTTATGCTAACAATAACTAATATTTCCTACAAACGGATCCTTCTATTAAGAGGGCTTTATAGCAAATAGTCAACCAGCAATACATTTTTATACATTTTATTACTCAGTTTATCTAAATATGAATTAATGCACAAATAACAGACTTTCCCCCATTTTAACGCAGATTTTCTATAAAATGGACTTAGTTTAAAACTCAGATTACTTGCTCGTGTAAAGAAATTTGTAATTTACGATGTCGCTTCTTCAAAAGCGGCAAATTACTTTCTTTACAACAAAAAGCAATTCGAATTTCAAATTAACTCGATTTTATAGAAAATATGCGTTAGAATGGAGGAAAGTCTGCTATTTGTGCATTAATTCATATTTAGACAAACTGTGTAATAAAATCTATAAAAATATTTTGTTGGTTGCCTATCATAAGCAGAAATTTCCTGCAGTACCGTTTGAAATTATTACTTATACTTCAATTAGCACATTACTACTATTACTTGGACTCTTTATCAAACGATCACGGAGAAAATAATTTGGTAATTTTTAAGTAAAAAATATATTTTTTGAGTTATTGCTAGATTTGTATCAGAAAGCGATCTACCTTCTTTATTTTTTAAATTACAAAAATAAATTTTAAAGATTAGGATATTTTCTATCGATTTCAAGAGAAGTTGAATGTTACATTATGAAGATATAAACTTTTTTTTTTAATAGAACACCCTGTATTTTTTTATTGTTTTTTTACGAGTAAAGTGATATAAAGCTTGTTAGATAGTAGTTGTCAGATCTAAGCTTTATTTGACTGATTACACTTATGGCACAATTTTTTTAATTGATGCCCCCAACAGATTTCACCGTTGTAATTTTTTTTTTGCATCAATTGTGATATTTGTAGCTTACACCTTGTAAATTTTTTTATAGACGTCCATATTTAGATTGCGTTATTAAAACGTCAAAATTAAAAACAAATATACAAATTGCAAATAAATAAAAATATATTTTTAATTAAACAAATTACAATAAAAATTAGAAAAAAAAAAACTGAAAACAATAATTCGCAAAAATTCAAAACAAATTTATAGCACCACGAAAAAGAACTACTTATAATTTTTAAAAACGTCCACTAACACAGTCTGCTCCTGCCTCTTGACGCTCTTCATCTCCAGTATCTTATAGAATTCAGTCAGCTGACACTCCGGCAGCAACTTCTTGTACTGCTCGACAAAGTTCTTGGGCGGATCGAGGGGCGTCATCACTACCTTGAGTATCATTTCTGCTTTCGTCATGCCTTTCGTGACGACCTTGGAGTAAGCGGCCGGAGCCTGTCGGTTAATTTGCGACGAAATGGACGGCAAGTTTAACAGAACCGTTTTCAACATGTGAGTGTCCAAAAGGAGCTGTTCTGCTCCTTCCGTATTGATCGGTTTGCACTTGTAAATGTTCTGGATGAATTTCGGAATGAAACTATTAGCGAATTTTATGCAGAACTGCGTGAAATACTTCCGAGACTGTGATAAGTTTTCTCGGATTATGGGAACGGTCGTTTTCAAGTGGGTTGTAATGGCCGTAATGTACGGACTCTGATCTCCCACTGTGTCTACGTTTTGCCACTGGATCTAGAAAAAATGGTACGAGAAAATATAAAAAAATTAACTATTCAACTATGCTGTAAGTGAGACAACCGACGAACAATTTAGCTGTTTAAGTGCCTATTTACCGACACATTTTGAGTACTAAGTATGTCATATTTTAGCGCTTTATTAGAAATATCTCTGGAAATAATTCAACACTGGACAGGACATGTAGACCGCAGAGTAGTTCCCCACAATATCAATACTTAAAAAGTTTATTTTGCCCGGTAAAACTGATCTAAAAAAGTTACGTTTAAAATATCAGACACTTTTTTTGTGTATTCAATTGATATTTTGCTAATACGACAAACTAGTACGAGGGTTACCGTTTATATTTCGGGAATGGATGATCCTGGTGCTGCCATCTGACACCCGACGTCCTTACCATAAAGCTAGACCTTTTGTCGATATACTTACTAGGAACGTTTTAACCTAAAAGTGCTATTTGCGTTGTTTACAGTGACTTGAAAAATTCATCTCTGCCAAAAAATGGAATTAAGTCATGAACATTTCTGTGCGATTATTTTTTGCAACTTTTGATGTGGATTATCTCAACAACAGTGCATTGATAAACTTATTTCAACTTTAGTCGATGAAGTACCCTCAAAAACCACTGTATATTAGTTGTATACGGAATTCAATCGTAGCAGTGCTTCGCTCACCGATGAATTTCGTGAAGGTCGTCTAAAATTGGTTGTTGTCCCAGAAAACATTGATGTTGTGCATGAACTGATATTGCAAGATCGTCATGTGGCTTTTCGTAAGATTGAGGCACCATTGGGCATTAGTGGGACCAGCATACATTCAATATTGCATGAACATTTAATTGCCAAAAAAATTTGTTCGTGTTGAATCCCACATAATTTGACAAATGCTCAAAAAAAAAACTGAAGGTCGTTTGGTCGAAAGAAATACTCAAGAAATACGATTGTTGTGCTTCAAAACACTTCTACGACATCGTAACAGATGACGAATTATAGATTTCTGCGTGTAAGCTCGAAAATAAACAGCAGTTGACTGTACGAGTCTTTCAAGATGAGCCAAATCCAACAAAGTTCTTTGCATACGCACTTCCCAGCAAATGGTAACCAGTTTTTTCGAAAAAATCTGACATGCAATGTTGGACGGTCAATTCCGAATGGTACACAACCGTTTGTTTACCGGAAGTATTCGGAAAAAAAAGGGAAGCCAACTTCTTCACCAGGACAATGCGATATTTCACATATTGGCTCAAATAAGATACTTTTTGAGAAAAAAAATAGTCAAATTGATGAGTCATCCGCCATACAGCCCTGATTTGGCACCCAATGACTTCACATCAAAAATAAATTACGAGAAGCGGTTGATGCGTTCAAAATGCATTCAGAATGGAAAAAGTGCTGCAAAAAATGGTTTAAGCGCATGCAAGTGTATTGACCTTCATCGAGAATATTTTGAAAAACAATAAAGCTAGGCTGATTCAACAACAACTCTGAAATAGATTCAGGGAAGTGAGAAGAGATGCCTGTAAAAATCGGAACTCTTAATAATAATATTTAGAGGTGTCACATCACGATTTTCCATTTTTCATTTGAATAACATGGGAAAAATTATTTTTCAATTTCAGAACTTTATATAAAAACCAATAGACGGATTTAAATGACCAAAACATATTCTTGTAGGGAATTGAACGTTCTACAAAAAATGTCCTTTATCATTTTTTGATAAACCTACTCGTACAAAAGTTATTCAAATTCAAAGTTAAATTTATGTTATAATTACACTTTTTTCTGCAGTTTCAGGTAAAATGATTCAAGTTATCATGAAATATTATAAAACAGGCATTTAAAAGTCAAAATTGATAAGTTTATCAAGTCTTTATTAATATGACTGAAAAATCCACCATTTCTGGGAAGAATCAATTAAAATCCTTTTTATTGTATTAAATAGTATTTTAAATTTTTTAAAATTATTTCTTTACTAATGATAAATGACTCTTCGGTTGTGATAGTGGAAAATTTTAAACTATTCTGACCTTTAGTCAACAAATTTTTAAACTAACAAAATTTTGAGTGAAGAAATAAATTCTCACCTTGCTCATCGCCGTTAACGCCGGTTCACATGCGTTTTCCAAATCCTGAACTAATATCTGTATACAGTTCGATATTACTCTAAAAAATTTAATAGATCATATAATTATATATATTTATAATATGTCATATAATAATACTTGTGGAAATTATCTTGCTCCTTTGACAAATCAATTTGATCGGCCAGTGTGGGGTCAATCTTCTCCTTAAGTTTATCACCAAGTTGCTGCGTCGTCTCCAAACAATATTCGGCTGTGGTTAGGATACAGCATATCCTCGTTTGTTCTTCCTTCGTAAACCTAAAAAATAAGACAAATAGAGCACTAAGGTCCAAAGGGTTTTCAGATTTTATACCTTGTAACTTCCCCTTCCTTCAAAAGCGACGAAAAATTCTGTATCAACCCCGACGTCGACATTTTTTGTAAATCTTTGGTGAAATTTTGGACAGAGCTTCCTAAGGACTGCGATTCGATTTTTGGTAAGTTATTCAGGAGGAGTTTCTCAGAATATTCATGTAAGTATTTCTGAAACGTTCTTGTTAAACTCAACATCGTTTGGCCCCGGTCTAACTGATTGCACTGGATCATACTCTTTTTGTAGAAAACAAACAAGTCCGGACAGCTCGGTAAGATAGCGGCTTGAGTGTCTGTGGCCTCTGTCGGTTTACTCTGTTTCTGGTCTACTATAAATCGTTCAATTAAGTCCAACAGGTTCCGATCTACACTTTCGATGTAAATTTCTAAATGTGGGATGAAACACCTGCCTATGATAAGAATATTGCAATACAGAAAGAACTGTCGTGTAATTTAATTGCTTACCTATTAATCCGTGGAACGGAGAAGAATTCAAATCATTTTCGCCTCCTTCCTCTCTAATATCACCCTGTCCCTTTTCCATGCCAACATTTTTTTGTACATTTTCATTAAATTCGCTTATAGTCACGCCTGTAAATCTTCTAGATAAAAGGTTTTCGAAACCTGCTGTTTTCTGTATAGCGTACAATAATAACTTCACATCGATTTCATTTTTTCTCTTCGACATTATTTTCGAGAGTTCTTCTCTAGTATTGTGGCAGAATTGAACTGCAATTCTCTCAGAAACTTCCCAGTTTTGTGGAAACATATTACCTAAAAAAACGAGTATTACTGAAAGCAGACATTTTGAAAAAATGTACCTAAGCGATCTTCAAATTCCAATAAGTGCCTCTTTATCCAAGCGTAACGTTTATCGATTTTATCCAACCACGCTGTATCTTCGGTTTCTTGGAATAAATGATTATACTCTTGCAGTTGCAAGTTTACGAACCATTTAAGCAGCTCCCTCTTTACTTTTGGGTCTAAAATAGATACCACCAAGCAAGCCTGAGCAAGCTGTTTATTTGGTATCATGTTCCTTGTATTAGTTCCTACAAATTTTATAAATAAAGTAGCTTAATTATTTACCTAATACGATTTACCTGAAAATGCCTCTTTGAAATCATGAGTAATCTGTTCGGCCAGTTCAACGTGTATCGACTTCACTTGATCGCTCAAGTTTTTTATTTGTGGAATATCGGAATAATTTTCAAAATGTGTCATAACCTCACTTATAGCTTGCAATGGTAAAGCAATTTCTCCGTACAGCCTCTTCTGCGTAAGAGACTTTAAAGTATCTACACCTCCTACTAACATATGCAGATGATTCAATGTAGTTATCGCTAAAGTTAAGTTCCGTTTAGCGCAATCCAGTTGTTTTATGTCTCTTGTTATTTCACGAACCATTTCCTCAGATTTCTCTGCGCGTTCCTTTATGTCCTTAATATGAATAAATAACTGTTTTATAACTTTCTGAGCTTCGTCGAGTGCTTGTCTTCCATCTTGACTCGCTGCTATTTGACCACGAACAACTGTGCTTATTTCGTTATCTATGGAATTTATTTTATTTTCCATTTTTAGTACTATTTCATCTATGTTTGAGAGTGACTGTTCTGTGGGAAAAAGCGAATTAATGTAATCAATACTGTTAAAATCTGGTTCATCTAAGGGATCTTTACTAGGCAGGACCTAAAAAGAAATCATTAAGAAGGACATTAAAGTTTGAATAAATAAATTACTTCTTCAATAGCTTTTTGAACGTCTGGTGGAAAGTTTATAAATAAATCATGGTTATCTTCATCTAAAACGTCTTCTTCAACAGGTGAATTGTCCATTTTTTACAATGTTATTAAAAACCACAAAATTAAAAAATATTTTTGTTTCTTGTTGTCAATCAATTTGACAGCTGTCAGCGTTGACAATTCTCCTTAACATTTGAACTAAAGCCGTATTCGTGTGGTTACTCTTACAGCATTTTCGATTTAAACGCACTTTTACATTCGGGGAGATAGAATATTTCCTTTTTTTATTACATATTTAAATTGATAGTACAGGATCAAAATATGCTTAATATACAATTACTTACACTTTGTGTAAAGTTCAAATAAATTAAAAACAATTTTAACTCTGAATATCTGTCAAAGCAACATAACTTATAGGTACTTCATCTAGATGGCACCACGTTCGTCAATGTAAAATTTATTGGTTATACAGTGTGAAAGTTTAAGGTTACTTTTAAGTTTATGAATTATTGTTATTTATTTTTCTGTGAACTTTGAAAACATACCCGCCAGTTAATAATGGGTAAACATAAAAAGAAATTGAAGGAAGACAAAGCAAAGGTTAAGTTAAAACAGTCGAAAACAAAATTTCTTCCTAAAGGTTTAAATGTTACAAAGACAGATTTTAAAATAAAACCAATCGTTTTGGTCCAGCAGCTGAAGGAAAAAGATGCCAGTACTCCCCTTAGTAAAAGAAAACTCGATGTTAAGGTAATAGTTGACAAACCAGTGTTGTAAACGAATATAAAATATGATTGATAATTTCAGGATCTTTTAAATAGAATCAAGCATTATAACGAAAATGTTCGTTATGGTGCATGTGAAGAATTAGCAGAAATGATGAAGATTCACTCAGACGAGCTCATAAATATGTATCTGTCGCAAATAATTACAAGTGTTAGTACTCTAATGCAAGATCGTGAGCGAAAAGTCAGGAAATCTGCTGCAAAAGTCATAAATACGATTTTAGAAATTGTATGTATTTTTTTATTATAATCTTTATAGCATAAAAAATATATTTTAGGTACCCGATTTTAAAGTGGAGGCATTCTTTAATCACTTTTCCACAAATATACGATGTGCTATGACAAATATAGATAAAAACATTCAAGAGGATTCATTGTTGTTTCTTGACTGCTTTATAAAGTACAACTCCGGTTTGATTTTTAAAACTTCGGAGAAATTGTTGCCTGCTTTCTTTACCTTGATATCAAAATTAAGAAGCGACTCCACTTTAATGCGCACGTTGACAGTAAACTTAGGAAGTAAAATGACGAGTGTTACATGGAGGTTGAAAGTGTTAAGTAGATTGCACGCTGTTTTAGAAACGATTATACGAAACCATAATTTGGAAGACATTGAAAGAAGGTACGAAATTATACCTAATATAATAACTTAAATTGAATTTGTTATGTTTTAGTGACGTTTATATAGATGCTGAATCTTGCAACTACATTCCACTTTATAAAGAATCATTTAGTACCACTTTAGACAACAATGTGTTAGATTTTGCCAATAATAAGTCCTTGGAAGGAGATGCTTTAAATAGGCACATCATAACGTTAGTACCGTTATTATATGAAATATGGATGGAAGTGGTGCCTGAAAAAAACATCGGAAAAGGGGTTAGTGGTAAGTTTTTAAAACTTTTTTATTCACAAGTGTGTAAAGCAATACTTTTTTAATAATTATTAACTATTTTACACAAGATAAGATTCAGAATAGTGTCATTCATTTCAACACGCCACTACAACAACAGTTCTCAACTGCCTGAGACAAATGAGTGCTCGTTCTGCTCCCAACACTTTGTCGAAAACAAAAACCACAGAGCATCGGAGTCTCAGTACTCTTACTTTGTGAATATGCCTCATAGTATGCATAGTATGAACATCTAATTTAGCGAAACTGCCAAAACATGAGAATTTATCTTACTAACCTTGCACACCGTAATAAGAAAAAGATTTACTTAAAAAAACTTAAGTAAAAAATTAGAACATGCTCGTATATTGTTTATTATAACAGTAAAATGATATTGGCAAACACCTTTCATTATTTCTAGAAAACACAATTTTAAAGGATGAAGCAGCAGCTATTCTGTCTTGTATTACAAAAACTCTTTATTTGTTGTGGAAATATGTAAAACGAATTGAAAATGATCACATAAACATAGTAAGTATGACAGTAACCGTCCATAAAGCAATTATCCCGTTTTATGTCATATTTTTTACAGAAAACTGTGTTTTTATCTAACGATGGCAAAAAATTCATACATCACCTACTTACAAACTTTCCATATAGCCAAGTGAGCAGTAGAAGTAAAGAAATTAAAGCAAACAACACTTTAATGTTGTTAGAGATTAATACGGACCCAAAATGTGTCGCAGAAAATTTGTTGATTTGTTACATGTACTGTGTGTTAAACCTAAATCATACGCCCATAAAAATGAAAATCGAACTAGAGGCGATAACAGCTTATATCAGTAGTAAGTTCCCTTTAAACACGGTTATATTTTTTTTACTTACTTATATGTTTTGTAGAATGTTTATTAACAAGGAAATATGTAGATCAAAAAAGTGTCAAATATTTAATAGTGTTTTTAAAAGCATGTTTGGTAGAGGACCCTAAATCGTGGAAGAGAGCCGGAGCAGATTTGAAAATCATATTAGAAAACACGGTGACTTTTTATAATTTTAATACCGTCAGCGAAAAATGCAAACTGGAAGTTTTTCAAATATTGTCTGACGTGGTGGATGTTCCATTTTTGAAAAGGTACGGGACGTTAAATATTTGTGCAAAGTTAGATTTCTTTTTTTCTAGTTCACAGCATTATCATTGTTGGTTCTCGACTCTACCAAATCTTTTATGTGAGCCGAAAATAACAGATGTATTAGTCAACGCTTTACTTAATTTGTCCAGGAAAAATATTGAAGTTTTTTATAAAGCTTTGCAGAAGAAGTTATCGTCAATATTAGGTAAGACATTTTTAAGAAGCATGTTTTTTGCAATATGCAAAGCGTTATACTCATTATTCTCATAGGCGTTTTTTTTAAAACGACAAGACATATTTTAAATCGGTACTGGCACAAGCTGAGGACAATAAGGGGTTCAACTTGGTATAAAAATAATTTTCAAAACTGTTGTGTGTTCAACTCTTAATGATTTTGCAAGTTCAGCTAGCATCTGATATGAATCTTCAAACTTTACTTAAATTATACGTTTGCAGTTCTGGTAATGCCATCTGTTGGAAAACAGCGAGAACTTATTCAACGCCGACTCTTACCTTTTAGATTTCATTAATTGGGTATCTTTGTGGATTAATTTATCGACATTAGTTTTTGTTATTGATTTATTTGGGTATTTTGCCACCTTAAAATTAAGAGAAACATTTATTTAAAAAATAAATTAACATTACAATGAAGCAGATAGAAAAAGTAATAAAAATCATGGTTTGGTTAATTTTTTTGGTGCATGAAATAAACATTTTTAATATTTCGAATTTTCATACTGTATAATTTTTTATGAGAGAGAATAATTTAAGGGAGTGTGTAATTTAAACTTGGACGATTTAATTTACTTCCAGTTATCAGAAGGTGCACAAAGGTCTAATTTTTGCTTTTAACTGTTCATCAATTGCAAAATCTTCCAAAAAAAATATGCACCTAAGGGAATAGGGAAATATATGCTCAATTTAAATGTCTATATCAAAAAATCGCATCCAATTTTTTTTGTTTCTATCATTCTTCATAATAAATATTTTTAAGCCAGGATCAACGCTTTGTACCTCTGTAGTATCAGTTTAAAATATGTCTTTTAGGGCCTGATGCAAACGAGAGTATCTTTCTCATTTAATTTCAGAAAATTTGGACGCTTTAAAAATAGTTTTAACTTCTAACTCTAACAGTTTAGTGAACAATGAGGAAACAGTCAAAAGAAATATCGTAAATATTTTCTTCTTCGTTCCACATTTAGACGTGAAGCTCATATCCAATTACATATTAACGAATCCAGACTCTAAGTACAGTTATTATTTCAAGATTATGTTGAGCTTAAGGTAAGGCGACAAAGAGGTCTTGATTATCGTAAAAAAATTTTTTTCAATTTTTAGAACAAACAACTTGTGAAGCGAATTCGCGGACCATCTTAACAAAGTGTTTGCTGGTTTTATTAGTTAATGTACATTGTTTTAAAATAGACGTGAGTTTATTGTAAAACAAGCCGTTCCCGGTGCATATTAAATGAAAATTTTATTAGTTCATTTTTTCTATTATCCAATAATTGTACTTATTAAGATAATGTCTTTCAAAAATGTTTCGTTCAACATAATGTTGTATTTCGCCACGTAAAACACTTGGTCTTCGGGCATCTTCTTCACTGAAGCATTGGACTTTTTGGAGCCCTTTGTGCTGCCCGATTTTTTGCTGCCCTTTGAAGCTTTCGCCTTTTTGTCACCCTTGTCTTTTTTGCCTTTGGCCTTTTCCTTTCTCTCTTGTAGTTTTCTTATTTCTTCCCGTTTTTTTGCTGAAATGACCTCGGGCAAACCAAAACCGATGGTAATAACTTTAGTCGACTTAGGCTCCAAGTTGATTTTGTCGTGCTCCACGTTTATAACGTCGTAAAAGAAGTCGCCTTCAATTTAACGTAATTAGTAAAGGATATGTAGAACCTCCTGATATCTTACCACTTTTCTTTGTAAAATTCTTGAAGGAAGCTTGTTCAGCTTCCATTAAGTGGTCTGAAAATTTTGGGAACTCATCTTTTTTGTTCTTGGCACCCTTGGAAGTTTCCTTAGATTTTTTGTTCTTTTTGTCTGCTTTGCCTGCTTTTCCAGCTTTTCCCGCTTTACCCTTCTCCTCTTTGTTTTCTGTTTTGGCTTCCTGGTTTTTAACAGTTTCTTTAATGCAACCCTTCAATTCAAATAGTTTTTCTATAGTTATGGGGAGCTCACAATCATTTTTATTTCTAATCTAGAATAAACAAATTCACGTTCAATCTATTAAAATCGCTTGGGATTATTCACCTCAATAGGGCACTGCGCTATGGTATTCTTCTTTGTATCCAACCTAAATACCAGAAAGTTGGGTAAAATGTCCACGTTGGGAGCTACACCTATACCTTCAAGTATTAACGGTAATATAGTTGCTCCAGAACTTATTTCAAAGTATTCTTCTACCTAAAAAGCGTACGTTTGTACAGAATGTTTCCTAAGTACTTGCAGAAAATCGGGATACATTTTTATGGTTAAAATTAAGTCATTTTGATTAAATAAACTTGGGATCGTTGTGCGGGATTTTGTAAACTGTCGTTTTGATGTAACAAAACGTTGACAAGAAAAGTCAGTGCGAATCACCAGTTGGGTTCCTGGTAAAAATTAGGTTCGTTGAACCAAATATGATTATTATTGCTCCAGTCGAATTAGATCATAAAATCTGAAAACTTGAAAAAATTGTTAGTAGACATTGCACTTTATGACGGGGAAGTATATGTAGAATGATAAAATCAAAAAAGTAACTCGAAAGAAGTGACACAGTCATTTTCCACTAATTTGTTATCTGTAAAATAAACGTCCAACGTGGGAATATCAGTTTTTGATGACTAGCATGAGTCTGAAAATAAAAGTTTAACCCTTTCTTTAATTGTCTAATTCCGATACGTCTGGTACGTCCAATAGTTAATTAATAATTAACATTATATAAAAAAAAATATCTTGGGAACAAAGAGGCACAGGCTTTTTTTAAAAATTACCGTAAAAATAAGCTCTATTTAATGCAAAAAGAGGAAATCCCCGAGCGGCTATTGCCTGACCTTGGGACAATTTTTTATAACGCTGTTTTGCACGTCCTATTTTAATAGTTGGAGGACAACTTAATTTCAATTTTTTAAATTTTTTCTTTTTCGATACGTTTTTTTGGACCAATTAGAACCTATATCTATGATATTAAATTCTAAAATTAACGTTTAGTAATTAAACAATTAGTTGCAAAAAAACGAACGAAATTAATTAACAAATGCCTGGAGCAACAATTTCACGGTCAATCGAATTGGCCTTTGGTACACATGTTGGTCTTTGGATTGACCGTCTTTTCCATAAATTTCGTCAACATCCATCGCTTTTTGCAACAATAATATGCAATTTTGGAAAAGTGATTTTTCCACGTTCAACCTTTATTGTACAGTGAACAAACTGGTGAAATATGACCATAGATACCTTAAATTGAAGCTAATTTAATTACTGCCTACAACATAAAATGACCAATTTTCCTATAGGTCCTCTAAATTTTCGTGGGTGGTAAAAAAAAGTGAAAAAACACGTAAATATGCCCCTTATTTGCAATTTGACAACTTAGTGTCACTTCTTTCAAGTTATTTTTTGATACTATCCCTGTCATAAAGTGCAATACAATGTCTACTAATTTTTTTTTTGCATTCAACTAATTCAACTGGAGTATATTATGGAATTAATATGGTATGTTAGCAGTAAAATGAACATTGAAAATGTTAAATTGATGTTTCTCTAAACAAATTGCTTTAAATTTAGCCATAGAATACACTCTTGAATTTTACCAGTGCTGAAAACATTAGCCAGTTCTCTTGATTTCAAAATAAACAATAGTGACCCAATAATATTTTGACGGCTGTCAAAATTTGAGTGTTTTGTTTCTTGTTTTTTTATACACTTCGAAATGGGTCACTGCTCTAAAAAATCCAATGCCCCCTTCGGGGTGGCGACAAAACGGTTTAATAAGATCGGTTTTCATCCTGAGCTCGATGTTACTGGAGCCATGAAGAAAGAAATAACTAAAGCTGGGCCTGGTTCTTACAATCCCGAGCGTGTGACGTGTAAAGGAAAGCATGGCGTTAAGTATGTTGAGGTTCTTGTACCATGACCGAAAAAGTAATTTTAACGTTTTTCCAGTTGGAAGACAAAGTTAGAGGTTGAGGAATTTTCAAAAAATTTGGGATACAGGAACGCGAATCTTTTGTACGAGCGAGAATTTTATAAGTCGCTTAGAGGACCAGGCGCCAACGATGTAAATGAGGAGTATTATAAAAAGTCTAACCATTCCGTTCTTTCGAATACTGGTCTTGGAACTGGTGACAGGTTTCGCAGTGATTGTGATGACGCCCCTCCCCCAGGTATATTATCGCTGCTGAGGTTTATAATTTTATGTCATTATATGTTATTTACAAAGAATATTAATAACGGCGACAAAGCTGATTAGGGTCAATAGCGTACGAGTATAAATGGATTCTCTTTAAACAGTTTTGTTTTACAGTAACAAGCGTTAGCTATTCAAAAAAGTATTTTATGTATTTTAAACAAATGTAGGGGCTTCTACGGGTTGTATTTGTAGTTTTGTATTTTTAGTACAGTCATTGAAGCTTTTCAACTCCGAATTCTTTGAAACTGAACCAATCGACTTGAAATTTGGCAGATAGAGAAAAGGTCAATGAACATTAGTGACATAGCTTCCACCCTGTTGGGGTCGATACTCCTTCTCGGGGGTGGACATTTTTTTTCAAAAATAACACTGGAAATCGATAGAATCAAATTTTGGGCAAAAAATATTTGAAGAATTTTTTCGAGAAATCTATAGTTGTTTAGTTATTCATGATTGAAAACTTGGAATTTTGAGTGAAAAAAAACACTTTCAAAGTATTTTTCCCGTATAACGAAAAATGTAGCTTATAAATAAACAAAGAAAATCGTTTTTTAAAAAGTGTTGTACGTCCTATACAAAGCGAAATATGGTTAGTGGAAGGGGACTTGTTTTAGGGGGAATACTCGAATCGATGTATTCAACGTCAAATAACAGAAAAAGGATTATTTTTACATATATAACGCTCCAGGAGTTTTTTGTAGTACTCAAAAAGACCTTCAAAATGAGCACTTATAAAAGTTAATTAGAGCAAAATTGGAGGAGTTATTGTCAAAAACAGATGGGTTGCTCATATTTTTTAAGAAAAAATGAGCAGTAAACGCTGTACCATTTCCATCAGAATTAAAATTAATCGTAGACCCTTTACAACTAGTTTTGTTTTAGTGTTTTTCATACGATCCTGATGTTAGACCGGTTTAGAATTCGTATTTTTTTAATAATGTACGTTAAAAGTTGAAAACGTATTTTTCATTTTTCAAAAAAAATTGCCTTATTTATATAATAACTCTGAAACTATGAAAGATACGTAAAAAATGATAGATAACAAAAATGTAGCTTCTATTTCAACAAATATTTTGCTTATTTTTATTCCTATAGCATAAAAAATAAAGGAGAAATCGCCGCTTGAAGTATCCATTTTAGTGAAAAAACGACCTTCGATCCTTTCCCTTTAAAAAACGAAGGACTTAGAAGGTTTTATATGCTAACGATCTTACAACTCTTGATATTATCTTTAAAATGCTTTTTTGTAGGATACTATAGCTTCAAAATTAACCGAGTTATGGTAAAAAAAACAATGACATGTTTTCGGAGCAAAATAGTCTTTCTCAGTTTTATATATTATATATTATTATATTATACAAATAAAATAAGTAAAAAAATTTAGTGTGATTATTTATATGCAGCATAGCAATTTTTTTATGATTGATTATATTTAAAAATCGATTATAATAAAAATATTTTACATTAATATTGGTAAAAGGGTAGTTTATACGAGTTGAAAATGGCAAAAGTGAAATATTCTTTTATGAACAATATAAAGGAATTTTTATTTTAATTATTGCACAATTATAGCATTCCAAGATTTAAAATGTAATTTTTTATCATTTTTTTTAGCACAGGGGTGATTTATAAGGGTTGAAAAGTGTTATGAGATACAATTTCTTTCATAAGGGAATTTTTATTTTAAATAATTGCACCGTTAAAGCATTCCAAGCTTTTAAAAAGTAATTTTTTATTATTTTTGTCATTGCAGGGTTGATTTTTAGGGGTTGAAAGGGAACAATTCTTTTATTAGCTATAAGGTAACTTTTATTTTAAATAATTGGACGATTTAATCATTCCAAATCTTTAAAAAGTAATTTTTTATCATTATTTTTTGCATAGGGGTAGTTTTTAAGGGTTACATAAAAAGTCGAAAAGATCAACATTTTTTAATCTTTGTGCTTGAACAAGATTTTTATCAATAAAATGCTTAAAACTTAATTTTATCAATTTTTTTCACTTAGGGGTAGTTTTTACCACTAAAAAACAAAAAGCGTCAATCGGGCTTATGTCACTTTTGAACTTGAGCCTAAGATGAGCCTTATTCTAAATTTTCATGCAAATCCATGCAGTTTCAAAGAATTTGAAGGTTACAGCTGATTTTCAACTTCAATGACTGTACTATTTTAGTTTTGTTTCTGGCTTTTTACGTATTTTAAAAAAAATAGAATAAAAGAAGATTCTACTCTAGAATGTATCTCATATATCTGCATATTGAAAAAAGATTTTTTTGAGAATTTTTCGAAGAAATACGAAACGCCACTTTTTTTCAAAAAGCACTTTTGGTTTAAAAATCAAAAAAAGCCTCAGAAAACAGTGTATAATTTTTATATTTTTTTTTATATCATACAAAAAAAGTTTATTATTTTGAATTTGAATTATTTGAAAAATTTTTAACCAAAATATTCAAATGCTCGTAACTTTTTGAGGGGTTGAAATAAAAATTTGAAAAATTCATGAAAGCTACTCTAAATGGGTACTAAATAATACCAAAAAATCAGGAAAATTAAAAATGGTCGAGCATTGCAGCATTTCTGTTGTTATGTTTTAGGGACGTACCAACGGATGAATAAAATGTCCACGTTAAATCTCCACCAGTTTTCGAATGTAATGTCTTTCGAATGGGATGGATTTTTAGATCGTTTTAGAAGTAAAGACCCTCCATATCTACTAGCTCCCAACAGATATGACACAAAAGATGGTAAAGGTAAGTTTTGTGACTGGTCGTTCTCCAAACTACAACGTAACCAAAAAAAACTATTTCAACCCAGAAAAGTTAATGAAATTTTTAATGTTTTACCTTTTTTTTAGGTCTAGACGCACTCCTAAACAAAGTTGTTTCACTTAGGGGTCCTTATGATCTGTTTACCGGTCCGAGAGATGAAAGTACGATAAAAAATCACCTCGCCCCTTCAAAGATCGTTACGCCAGAGTACGGCTATATAAAACCGAGCGATATTGAGATTTTATTGAATCACCCGTTAAAGAAGAGGTGCGGTAAATTTTCAAGAGCTCCAAGATACACTAAGAAACCCGTTATCAGGAGCATGTTAAACGACATCAGCCTTTGCTACAAAAATCCAAATGATCCCGGACCGGCCCATTATAATTTGTCGAACTTTAAAAGGTACTGTGCAATTTCTTTTTTCCATTTTCTTAAACTTTTTTTATAGTTAAATCATGCGTAATAAAATCCGTTTCTTGTTTTGTAGTACCGTGATCAAAAAGAAGAGCTTG